ATTTAGCTCATTCTCTGTCTATCTCTTGCAAAATCTGAGCATATCTTGCATGGCAACTGCTTGTTGAATCAGTAAGGATACCTGATGCTGATGAGCTGCGTTAGTTTTTAAAAAAAAAATGAAGCATCCTGGATCTTGATCTAGAGAAGTAATAGCTAGATCATGAATCGCATCAATATTGTAGAAAGTTAAACATTCTACCTCATTTTGTATTAAATTTTATTGACCTAAATATTATATCAGTAATTTAATATCGGGGTCTGTGAAGATTAGAAATGATAACGAAACACCCAGTCTGAATCATTGAAAATATAATATAGTGTTTAGCAATATTTATTGCTTATTTTTTCTACAGATAATGGTCAATTTTGTATACCCATTAACATCTCAAATGTAACAGATGTGGCTATGAAATAGGAAGATTCGAAATACCTACTGATTTTAATAGAAACATTAAATAGTAATATTATTGATTAGTTTGTGTTATTCAGTTTAAACTTGCTGATAAATTATAACTATTTTTGGTTGTACATATTTATTATACGGTAGGTTATAGGTTTTGAGACTTGTTTTTTCAATTCAGATAGAGGAATCCCCAGAAAGATGTGCAATAGTTGTTTGTGCAATTACTTCCACTGAAATCTAGAATTGAGAGGTCTTCTTTTGTTTAGATATTGATGTAAACATCCTGGGATTGTTCAGTTGGCAATAAAAATAAACCCATTCGAGCAAGACACACTTCTTGTGTTTTGAACAATTGTTGTCTGTGCCATTAAAACCTTCTATAGTGGTTTTATTGCATCATTGATGTACATCACAACATACTGTGATGAACTGCTCTGAACTGCACCTCCCTTTCAAAGCTGTTGGTGGGCATATGTTGCTTGATAATGCAGTGTTTGTGTGATCTAGTGTTTTGTATTTAGAAGCAAATTAACAAACTGCATGTGTATTGCTAATATAAACTAATGGTTAGTATATTCAGAGGCTTGAAGTAACAGCTGTTGCTAAATTGTTTAATGGCATTTGATAATTAAACTGGAAATGTAGTTGCTTGATAAAGATAGAATTCAGGTCGAAATGTTGCACAGTAATTGTATTGCATAAAATTGTGTCCTGTCAGTGTATGTTACTATTCTTGCTTTTGTTGAAGGAACAGATGTTGCTAAATTTGTTAATGGAATTTAATAATTAAACTGGAAATGTAGTTGCTTGATAAAGATAGAATTCAGGTCGAAATTTTGCACAGTAATTGTATTGCATAAAATTGTGTCCTGTCAGTGTATGTTACTATTGTTCTTGTAGCTTTTTGTTGAAGGAACTCATGAGAAGTTAGTTCTTTTGACATTAATATTATCCATTCCAATATAGATTTATTATGACAAATTATTAAGTACAATTTAAATATTGTCTGGTGCCACTCCGACAATTAGCATACATGTAGCTTGGTCAACTACAGGTCAAACTTTATAGCAGCATTCTTTATGCCACATGCAAGGTTGGATGGATTGAAAAAGCAAGATGTCCTCTGAGAATTTTGTATCTAGGCGAAATAATAATTCATGAGACAGTGATAGAAAAGGCATTTAAATTTGATCTACATGTAGCTTTGGTTGCAGTAACCTTTCAAAGTAGCACTAGCCAGGAGCACTACAGAAACGTCTCATTTCATTAGGCCATTAGAATGATTTAGTTATTATAATTCTTTCATTACATGTCTTCAAAAGAGTGTTCACCTTTTTAAAAAAGTATGTATTTATTACCTCCTGTTCTAAAATCACCCCACGTGACATCTCAATTCCTAAGAAAGCCAGTTTTGTCGATTGTAATTCAATTTTCAGACTTAATTTCATTTTGAGAAAATCCATCTTTTTATAAAAGGCAGTTTAGAAGAAGATTAGTTCCTTTTTTATACTCGCAAGCTTGTCTCGAAATTTATGTGTGGGTTGATTTTTGTTTAAGTATTTTATATTGTATTAAACTAGAAATTTGAATTCTATATTTATTATACCTACATGTGCTATAAGCACTGAAACATGATTGTGTCCATTTTTTGTCTTCACTTATCCATCAATAGCGATCCCAAGACAATAAAACGAAAATAGTTGTAGGCCGAAAATTGAATGAAAGGCTCGATACAGATAACCCAATTAGATTTATGAAACTAAAATTGTGTTTTGACATCAATATGGAAAAGCTGAAACCATTATGTCATATTAGATCTAATGGTATTGTTATTTTTATACAATATTTCAAATCGGTTATTTAGAAAATGGAGGAAAGATGTTATCTCAATAAGATTTCTCTTAAATGTTCAGAATTTTTTTAGTATTACTGTTCTACTGTAGATTATTTTTATACGATATGTAAAGTGTCATTTAGAAAGTGAGGAAATATGTCCATTCTCAGAAATGTTTGGAATTTTCAGTATGATTGAACTGCTATAGATTATTTCCCGTAGAAAATCAATGTTATTACTACGGCTTATGAGATATAATAAGACTAATTATAAGACAATGAAAATACTGTATCATTGATCCTGAAGGGTAGTGAAAAAATACATTAAAGTCCAAATTTACTAAAGAAAAAATTCATAACCAAAGAACAGATTCTCTGAAATGAATTAAATAATCCTAAAAAAAAACAACCCAAAAAGCAGAGAATTTTATTATCCATGAATCTGCTGATGAAGGAATCTTCCTGAATACAATTTTCAAAGTTGTGCAAGTTTTTGTCAATTCATTTAATAGTATTCTGTATTCTCTTTTATTGTCCCATCACAGGTTATTAATAATTCTCTGTAAATCTGATATTTCCAGAAATAGAATATTTGCCAGTTTTCTATGAGTGTTTAATGTTATTAAATTCAATGGAATGGTTTATAATCACGCTTGTTGATACCTTTAGTCCTTTGTTTTTAATGCTATTCAATATTCTGCCACTGACATGTGATATTTTTTGTCATATTTGTTTCGATCCATCTCTGTAATTATGTGTAAATTAAGTATGTGAAACACAATCATTTTGAAAGAGATTTCTATTAAAAATATGAAATTGATTTTGTGTCTAGATTTGTATATTGGAATTACAAAATCTGTGTTTTACTGATCATAAGCTTTATTTTTTATAAGACATTGATTGTTGAAGAATGTGCTTTAGGTCTCAGGGTTGGATGGTTTAAGGGAATCATCATGTTCAGAAGGATTATGAATATTGTTGTTGAGGATGATCATGTTTCCCTTTGTTTTCGAGGATCATGAATCTAGTTGATCAGTTGGTTGATGAAACTAGATTTTGAGAGAGATAGAATGGTTGTTAATTTTAAGGTCACAGATTTTTGAAGGAAATGAGTCTATTCGGGTGCAGGCTGATAAATTCATGAGACAAACAATCGAAACAAATTCTAATGATTTCTGATAATTACTTAATGGGTAATATGCGACAACCCTTGTAGACTGCCCCGATGACTTAACTGCTGTGGGCGTATGTTTTGTTGCCTGGCAACCTATCTTTGAAGACAGCTTGAATCTCAGTTACAATGAGGTGATTGATAAATGTTCAATATTGTTCAGATATTTTATAAAAAAATATTGGCAAATTTTCATGAATGTCATGATTCTTGATTCCTTGATGGATGATTGCTAAAACATTGTGGAAAAACTTTGATGAAATTTGTTGTTCATGTTACTGGAACAATGACCATCTTATGCACACTGGAAAATAACATGTAAAAACAATTTACTTTTAATGTTCAATTTTTCAATATATGATCAAATCTAAGCTTTATATTTCCATGAAATTTAATTGAATTTTGTTGTTAAGAGGTAATTGTCTTTTTACCCTGTAAAGGTCAAGCTTAAAATTAATCTAATATTATTTTTTTGCAATGTTCATAGTTATTGAGGAGCCATGGTGGCTCAGACAGTTAAGGCTTTGACTTGCTAACCTGAAGGTCCAGTGTTTGATCCCTGTGTTGGCCGAGAAAGTTCATCCAAATTTTCTGGCGTGATTCCCCCTTGTCACTAATGTAGGACAGAGGGTCTGATAAGGGACATGGTATGGTCATTCAGATGGGAGTAAAAAACGAGGTCCTGTGTACGCATTGGTGTGCACATAAAAAATCCCTTGGCAGTTGGAATTCAATATAAGAGTAGGCTGTAGCATCGCGGTCCAAGCAAAATTATGCAGAACAGTAGGATATTAAACCTGTTTCATTTCATAATATTACATACCATTTATTTTCTGGGGTGTTCAATTTCATTATTATAATATATGTAAAAATACAGTTTTGAAAAATGAGTACAAACAAGATTCAATGCATACTGAGTAGTTGCTATTATTGTACATTGTATAGTTCTCTTCTAAAGGCCAACATTGAACCCCATTTTATTTCGCGTCTCCTCTACTGAGATCGAGCTTGAAAATATTAATGGAAATAAAATTACTTCTTATTAATGTGTGAAGCCGTCTTTTATCTATTGGTGTATTGTGAAGATATTTTTGTTGATACGATATTGGACTGTATATAGATATGTAGTGTATTATTTGATAATAATTGGCTGTTTTATATAGCGTTTGTTTTCTAATCTTTTGGCAATATCACTAGTGTTGATAACTAGTGAACTTGGCTTATTCTTCAGGTTGTTTTTTTTAAATTTTAAATATTATATGGGAGTGTGTGAGTGGAGACAGATGTATTTTAGACACTAAAGTAAATATTGTTGTAATTAAGCTGTAGGTTGTTAAATTATATAATTGCAGGTTTGTTGAATTGAATTAATTTTTGTTTGTAAGGATCAGTTTATTTTTAAGGTGCTTTTCTCTCTTTTCTTTTTTGGTGATGTATTGTATGGTTAAAGCAACTAGAGCATTTTTAACGATTTTTCCATCCGAAATGAAAAGTTCGATTTTATATGAAATGATGTTATTCTGAACTTACAAAAATAATCTTGAAAGTTTACAGATCTATTTATACAATATAAATGATTTATTAATTGCAGTTACAGCAACATTCCTGTATAGTATTGAATTCACAAACACTTGACAGGATAGCTCATGTGGATAAGCAACCTGTGGATTAATTTATGCAAATGTATGCGAATGTGGAGTATTAGATATTAAATTCAGTGTGATTGTTTGTGTGATAAAACAAAAACACAAAAAAACTGTGATAATGTGATTTATCTGTGATTTTGAAATCGAAAATATTTGTGGTTCTAGGATTAAGAGTTGACAAAAATGGCAGATGAGGAACACGATTTAGAAGGTAATTATTGATATTCATTAAAATAATTCCGAGCCAGACTAATGTATAGGAATATTTTTGACGTAAAATGTCAATTAGATTTCGAGTTGACATTATGAAAAGGATCCAATTATTTCACATGAATATACGTCTCAGTTTTAGTAGACTAGGTATTTGAATTTGTGCTGTTTAGAGCTTGACAGTGATCTGGAATACTCATGATAAAATTTGATTCAAATCATTAAATTAATAACTAAATTTCAAAGAAAATTGTAGAAAACTTAATGTTTATTGTTAAACTAACAATATTTAAATATGAAACAAATGATGTTGTAACTTATTTAGATGTAGTGGTGCCACTAAATCCAGTGCATACATCAGAACCAAGTCTACAAAAAACACCAAGTCCACAGAAGACACCTAGTCCAGAGAAAACCCCAAGTCCTGTTAAAACGCCGCAGTCTCCAACTAAATCAATCCCAGACAGTCCACCAGAGATTGTGATAACCTCTGAAAATGGAGACACTTCAGCATCCTACAGTAAACCAGTACAGGGAACTAGATTTACCGTGACAACGGAACCAACGAATCAGGCTGATCGAACTGGTATAAATAAATTATGTCATTCATTACTCTCATTTTTCAGGCGATTTGAACATTTTTAAATAAAAAAAAAAGGTTAGATAATGGTGAGGCAGATATTGAATTAATGAACATGCATCTTTCTATGAATATGTATGTTTGTCGTTTTATGACTTACATGTATAAAAGGTGTTCAGTGTCCAGCAAAGGCTTGACCTTAAGTATACACATGCATCTTTGGTGGGAGGTTCAAAATATCTTTCGTCATATAAGAGCATGCAGAATTGTCTGGTGACTATTCCTGCTAACACATATTCATCTTTTCAGGGATTAGAAATTATCCCATTATAAGAAAGGATTACTACATTATTTTTGTAGAAACCTATTTAAGGGAATAGGCTTATGTTTGAAATTCCAAAAATTTTCCCTTTAAATTTGTTTTACTGCATTCTGTTTGTCCAAGCAGCCAAACAGCAACCTACCAAGCGTCCTAATTGCAGATATTTGTGCTAAAGACATCATATTTTGCCATTATACCCCTCTCCTTAATTTCATTCATATATTCTGCAAGTGGAAGCAAACAAGTGGCTCGGGAACCACTTACCGCTAACAGGACTGGGACTCATAAAAAGACTTTCGAGTGCGGATCACTTTGGTTTTAATTCCGGTCAAGTGTTGAATCTTCTCAGAGGAGGCATTATTCAAACCATTTCAACAAAAATGATTCTTGACGGTAATGGCACCACTTAATGACAATAAAACTAATTTATTTGGAGGATTCTTGGGTCATGAGTGTAAAGACCAGGGGTAGATTCTCTACGTTCAATCAAATGATTTAAAAGCAAATGTTCTGATGTATGGCATCATTTCATGGAACACTATTACAGTATCAAATCTTCTGATGGAAATTCTATTTTATTATTAGACCATATAAAATGTTGAAGATAAACAAATATTAGATTGATTTATTTCTTAAATCTGTTTGTTTACATTATTCTTTGGACTGGCATGTAGGCATTTAAAGATGCAGAACAACATTGAACATCCATAATGCAAATTTTTACGGCAAATTTCGTCTAGTGTGTTTGGACCTGCAACATTCGCCCAAGTTTTGGCCGACACCATTCTCCAATCATGTTTGACAATTATTGCTTCAATATTTATCGCCACCTATATTATGTGGCAAAAAGCTCCTCGGTGCATCCATGAATTAAGTTTCAGACGACTTATTTGCTGAGAAATGCCCAAGTAACTTCTGCGGTGAATACTTCGGACGAACTATAGGCAAATAAAATTTGCATAGTGCGTCCCAGGCATGATGTGGTTAAAACCTCCACTATTTGTATTCTCGGAGATCTTGTAACTCTTATTCTTTGCGCGAAGAAACATTTTTATGTGAATCTGCCGATTTAAAAAAAAAAAAAAAAAAACAAAAAGGGAAGACTGACCTTGACCCTGTATATAATATATAGAACACTGTATATAGATATAGAACACTGTATATTAAAAGTATGCTGGTATATATAAATGGATTAACAGGCATATTATTATAGGTGGCCTATAACCAATATTAGTGTTCATTCAGTCAAAGAACAACAAGGATCTGCTATCGACCAATAATAAAAATAATAGATATAACTCTTGGATGGTCATTAGGGAATTGGAAATAAATAAACGTATGATCATTTTCCAATTTTCTGTTGAGAGAAAAGAACCATTTTTAAGATGGTATCTTAGTGGTCTTTTTTGATTGGTTATTGATCAAAAAGCTGCCATGAAATAAATATGGCTGACCTAAAGATGCTGTCGACAATTTACAGAATGTCATGGTCGGGTCTTAAGATTGCTGCTAATCTTGAATTATTGATGCTATTTTTAGAACTGGTAATAGGCCTATTTATTTTCATTCTAAACTAAGGACAGAAAATTATTGACAAATTACATGTCCTAGTAAAGTTGGATCTGCACATGTACAGTTGGTGATTGACAATGAGTCGTTCATTCTCTGAGTACATATTATCAATGTACATCATTTGTGTCAATTCAGCTTAATTCTAAATTCAATAAGTTAAAGGCACCACAAGACAGATCGTTCATATACATCTAAGCACATCCAAGTATATAAAACCTTTATGAAGAATAGACTTGTGTGTGCGGAAAAAGATAGCAGAGGCAGCATTGTTATTAATTTATTTATCTGAGACAATACATGTAAAGATGGCATTGTGGAAACAAAAGAGACTGGTGTGTGCGGAAAAAGATAGCAGAGGCAGAATTGTTATTACTTTATTTATCTGAGACAATACATGTAAAGATGGCATTGTGGAAACGAATGAAACCATTGTTATAATCGATTTGAATAAGTTTTAGACCAAAATGTTTGTTGATGAAAGTACTTCCGATTACTTTTCATTATGTATGGTTTTAAACTTGAATCTTTATTCCGGTATGTAAATCTAAATTGTTGAAGTGATATTTTCCAAATTGTAACAAAAATACACAATACTTTTGAATTGTCAATACAAATACCTGTGTATTTTAAAGCAGAAATAATAAACTACATGTATCTATACATGTACATGTATGTATAAAAGCTAAGAATGAAAGACCATTATTGTTGAATAAAACCTGTAACGAAGACAGAATTATAAACGTCAATACGGACGATCTAATCAGACTTAGTGTAATGTGTAAGAAATTCAATCTGTTGCGCTCCCTCGCATCCTTCATCTAAATACCTTTGGTCTCAAATAGAGCTAAATGGGGTTGACGAGACATTCATCGCTGTTCCCTCATCATTGGATTGAAGCCATCTGATCATCTTGCAAAACGTTTTCAGCTTTTATTTTTGATATTGGAAACTTGACTGTTGTATATACAAGACTCGTCTACCATTACACAGAAGTTTTGTTTCCTGTTTGCCACTTTTTATATCGTAAATTGTCTTTATTTTTACATGTATTTAAAAGATAATTGCACATATAATAATAATTAATCCACTGTTTTTTTGAGTGGAATCAGGGCTCTCAATTTGGTAATGCTTGACTGACTGGCCGTGAATGTTAATTAAATCATCCCTTGGAATTTTGGATATCAGTGGTCAGTCTACTAAAAACTTCCAACTGACTATGATTGCAATTTAATGGTTATGTCCAGGCTTACAGAGATGACATAATTTCTACGACTTTCTGTGTAACTAATGGAATATCTGTTGTTACAGCAGCTGACCCATGCAGTAACTTATGATGACAACAATGACCACAACACCTATAGAGAAAACAGTGGCATCCAAAAAGTTCAAAATTAATGATAGGTTATTCCCAACCATTCCTAATTTCTAGGCAGTAGACAAAGTATAGAATTTCTTCATCTAATCAGACCAATGTTTATTGTCATCTTATTGCTTAATAATAGACTCTTGTTCTTCCATTACACCACAGACCATTATCAAACAGAAATACTTGACAAAATGTATGCTCGGTCATGACTTATCTCTTATTCTTGCTAAATCTGTTCCGTTAATTGTTATAGGAATTATTGGATACCACGATCTGTGTCCAACAATAATTTACATATTATGTATATTTTATTGTGTGTAGTATCTCATTTGATAATATCTCCATAGTTCTTCAGATATATACATGTATTAGATGTTTGCCTAATTTCTGGTGTTTGCTTTTATTTTTGACAATGTAATGTTGGCAGTGCGTTAATGGTCTGGCATCTAATATTAGTGCTCCCTTTGGAGATATCTAAGCACTATGAAATATGTAAAGGAAATTATATAGGTGTAAACATTACTTATTGTTAATGCTGTACATCTAATCTGATTCATTCCTAGCATTAAAAAATATTGAGTGCTTTATATAAATATTGAATAGGATATCTACATGAAGCGCTTATAGCATCCTGTAAATGTTAATAAATAACCAAATCCAAAAAAAAATGATAGTTATTTGGAATATTGCTTCATGTGGCGTGGTAATGATAGTACATGTATCTTTGAAGAAGTTTTTACTTATTTGTCTAACCACAGTACTTTATTTATAATTTGGAAGGTATATTTTACTCTTTTCTAACGTTGCCACCCAATAGATATATCCTTCCTTATGGCAGACATTCAGCTTATACAGCATGTGGTGTGAGTGTGCATAATGAAAGAAGAAAGGAGTTTATGTTGTTAAAGATCATGTAGCTGTAACCCAATAAGAAAGCATTTAGATACCACCTTGGGGGGAATCACCTTCAGTACGATTTTGTACAAGGTTGCGTAAACCCTGTAATTTGCTTACAAATTGTGAGGAATCTTTACCTAGTACAGGGTAAACAATCTGACTACAGGTGTTTTTATTATCAATACCAGGTGAATAAAGAAACAGTAGATGGATTGTTATATTATGGCATGTTTGGTTACATTTAATGGTATAATGCAGATACTACCCACACTCTGACAATTAGAGGCATATTGCACACAAAGAACTATCTACTGTGGGAATAGAGTTCTACCCTGAATAACGACCATGTTAAAACCAATCAGTATTACTTCATGCATACACAAAGACTGAATAAATATTTTCAATTTCACTAAATTGTCAAATTGTACTTAGTGTTTTCAACTGAAATCGTTGATGCAGGTATTAAAATGTCGGTCAGTGATCGAGCTTTGTGTGTGTGCAGAAATGGTAAATTTCATATCAATTAGATGTTCATGCATAACGTGTAGTGATAATTTGTCTTTATTGATATTTTTATTCCAATATAAATGATTAATACTGAATTGGCAAAAAGATTGTTACCATTGGCTAATGGCTTGCCTATGTGATCAACTCATATTCCATACCGTATTTAGATAAATAAATGTATAAAATGCCTCTTGTTCATGAAATCCAGTTCCAAACTATGTAGAATGGAGGGCTAGGAAAAGTATTTAGTGAATTGGATCGCATGGAAAAACAGAGTTACACGTTAAGAATCCTTAACATTTGAAATTCAGCGAAGTAAAAATATGCAGAAACACCGCTATCCAGCCAAAATTTCACTTATTACGTGGCATATGCAAGTTTTCAATAGCCTACCTGGTGTAAGGAATATAAAATTACAACTGAATTTGTTCGATCTAGATGAATAAATAGTGGTATCAAAATAAGAGTAATCAGTAGTGCTACCTTCAGGAAAAAATTTCCCCCAATAGCACACTTCATTACAACTTTTTCTATTAGACTAGCTCAAACTGTATATTGTGCATATAAAGTCCATTTGACATGATTATATGTACAGTAATATTCAATACAGGAAATAAATAAAGCTAGATGTTTGATTTATTATTGTACCTTCTTTCACCTGTTGAACATCTTTCAAGTTTTGAACTCACCACTAGATGGGGTTAAATGTGGCACCTGTTATTGATAACATAAATATTACCCATGGTGTATCATCCGTTGTACACCAGAAGTATGCACATGTTAATAATCTAACGCTTTTTTTTTTCTGGGGTTGGCTCTGCCAGATATTGTTGAGATTTATATCCAAATCAGATAAAGGATGCCTTATAGCACCTTGTGTATTTTATCTGTTGAAGATAATGTATATATTTGCTGTATTTATTAACCAGCTCCGGAAACCAGACCAAGAGATCATAAACTTAACCTATTAAATTTTTATTACCAGTGGTAGAATTTCATAGGGTTGTAGCAAAGAAGTTTTTGTAGGAAAATATGAAAATGTATAAAACTTTTATTTATATTCTTCTTGGATTCGGTGTGCTGTTTATCTGTTCATACATGAGGCAGAGTATGCTAACTATATCTGGAACATTAGATATTACCATGGACCTAAAACAGATATTACTTTGCTATAGGAACATCTGTTATAGGTCCACATACTTTATTACATTGGTTTGTATATTTACGAATCCAATTGCTCTTTAGGGTCTCTACTCTCTATTATTTTATTTTATTGTAATAAGTGTTCGATACTTTGTCAAACTAGTGTGTCAATGCCATTGTGTTTGTGATTAGGAAAGTTCATGTAATCCAGTCTATATTAGGTATGGAACACGGACGGACAATGGAGGCCAAGAGGGCATTTTAATTTTGCACCAGTCGTTATTTTAAGTGACTTGAAACCTGCTAAACTATGACAGTCTTGTCTCTCTTAAATGTAAAAGTAGAAGTTAGCTGAAGGAAACACAAGATTTTTACAAGTCAAATGAAGGTGATCTACTTTTTACTGAAAAACAAAAAATCAAAAAACAATTGTTTAAACATGAAGGCATATCATTATAAGAAAAGAATCGTAAACCATTTTCGTGCATTGATTTGGCATCTAGACAGTTTTTTTTATACGAGTTGAGAGCCAAATATGTTTTGCCATGACTGACTTGCAAAAATAGCAGACCCAGCTCCAGAAAATCTGAAAGATACTGCATTTGTACATGTCATTTTACTTATTGGGAGTTCTGTTGTTTAGTTGGGAATTTGATTTCAAGTGTACATGCAACAAGACATATTGTTGCCTACCTAAACTTCTGTATTTTCTCTGGTATCTCAGACCCCACCCACTAATATTACAGACCATTCTTTGATTTCTATCTCTGTTTAGTGTGACCAGGAAAATATAATTAATGAATTAATTACATAAGACTTTTGTTTATTTTTGGTCTTCAGATTGGTTTTAGTCTGTATTTGTGTGGTTTAATGTTCAAGAGTGAGACATTAAGTAATATATTCATACTACACAATGGCGTTACCCCAAGTGTTGTTTCAAAATATTAAGTAAAGTATTGCTTGGAACCAACAACTTAAAATATATAAGCTATCACGCACATGTATTTCTGTAAAATGATCATATAAATAATGTATGTGTACGATTGGAGTGTTGCCCATACATTATTTAAAATAATGGTACGCCAGCATCAAAGGATGACATGACATCTGTATTCTAAATATTTTTAATACAACACTGACTGACTGAATGTGGTTTTAAGTTTACACCTGTTTCAATACATGTGCACTATAAAGACAGAATTAGTCTACCGGGAAGTTCCTGGTGTATTCTATTCTGACAGTTTTGTTAATTATGGAACAGAATTGTACAATCTAGAACAGAGTTACCAAGTGCATGTTACAATGATCTATTTACATATTCACATCGATCAACAAGATTACCAGTATAAATGGATCATTTCACTTGCAAAACTTTACCAGTTGTAGAGTCTGTATTAGATTAATTATTCTAAATATTGAGAGGTTTCATTGAAAGTTTTCCAGCATTCCTATCGGTATCTCATTCATTCAATCATTCTATCATTTATTCAATCATTTATCCATTTGTTCATCTATCACCAATCAATCATGTGTTTGTTGTTTTTGTCATCATATGTGCTAGTAATCTAATGACTCACAGTGTATTCATGTGATCATTGACCATTATTAGCTTCCAACTTAACCCATAATATTTTCGCTTTTGGTACCACATAATAATCTTCCCCATCACCCATATATTAAAGCTTAACAAAAGTACCACTTGTAGTGCTTTTCTTCAACCCAGCAGTGCATATGAAAAATACTAACATTTCTTTTTCTAAACGAACAAATGTAAATTCAATTGCTTGAAGATTGATCGATGCAACAACAAAAAAAAAAAAATAGCAATTGAACTTTTATTTCAGTTTGATTAATCCACTTTTTATTTCGTCTTCCAACCAACTTTTAGTTTGTAATGATTATGTTCTTTTGTTGATTTTATTTATGTTTCTTTTTTCATGTTGTGTTCTGGTTATCTCCCCATAATTTACTGATTAGCAGGCGATTATTTTACAATATACGGTGAGTTGCATGAAAATAACACAATGAATGTGTTAATGATGTGGGAAATATTAATATTCTAAGCACTCATATTTGTTGACAAACTGGTTTTAATATTAACCTAGAATGATAACAATACAAGGAATGTGGTAATGATGTGGGAATCTAAGCACTCATTTGGTTGACAAACTGGTTTTAATACCAATTTTAGACCTAAAATAGTTGACACAACATTGTGTATTGATACTCTATTTGATGGTGGTTGACATAAAACAAAAGATATAATGTTAAAACGATGGGTTATTGGATAGCACACAGGGTGCTGGCTGACATTTACTTGTACCAGTAACACACACTGGTAGAAAGCACACATTGGCTGAAAGAAGCCATATCTATTTGTTAGCACACTGGTTTTGGTTGAAATGAAAACATTTAATATTAAAACGATGTGATAATCTTGGATAGCCCACAGGCCGACACAGGGTGCTCACTGTAAAACACACTGGTAGAATGAAGCGAAATCTATTTGTTAGCACACATGCTGACATGTTGTTGTTGTAATTGTTTAACACTGGTTTTGGTTAGCTCACACTGGTTTCGGTTGGCATGAAACACAATATTTAATATTGGATAGAACACAGAGTGCTGGCTAACATGTACCTGTACCAGGAAAACATTCGGTTAACACAAATTTTAAAGTAAGATGAAGCTGAATTTGGTAGCACACATATCTGTTGACATGTTTTTGTATAAATCTGATTCTATTGTATTTGAACACTTGGTTAGGTTTAGCACACCCAGGTTAACATGTATTGTAACAATATCTCCAAGAATAACAGACTGGTTGTAAGTAACAAGATATATTGTCTAACACACTAGTGTTCATATTATGGCAAACTGTTTGGGGTGCTATTTTGTCTATTGGATAATGTATTTCTTTTGGATAAGCCAAAATGTGTTTAAATAAGACTCTGGTTGAAACATTGTAATATCTATTTATAAAACACATATTAGTTACTACCTGATACACCACTGGTTGATATGCTGTTTGTTTGATGACATATTTGCTGGATGACACATTATTAAATGATACCCATTGACTGACATGCTGTAATGTCTGTTGGATAAATATCTGTTGAATATCACCATTGGCTGACATGCTGTAATGTCTGTTGGATAACAAACAGCTGTAATGTTTGTTAGATAACAAACCGCTGTAATGTCTGTCAGATATTACCATTGGCTGGCATGCTGTAGTAATGTCTATTGGATAACATACTTTCTGATGTACTGTAATGTATATTGGATATCAGCAATGGCTGAAATGATGTAATGTCTATTGAATATCAACACTGCTGGAATGATGTAATGTGTATTGGATATCACCAGTGGCTGGCATGATGCAATGTGTATTGGATATGAACAGTGGCTGACAAGATGTAATGTCTATTAGACATTATCACTGGCTAACATGCTATAGCAAACTGGATGGTATGTAATGTCTATTGAATAGCAAACTTGTTAAGAATAGTTAGCAAGTTATATCCGTTGTAGAACAAATTATTGACAAGTTAAATGTCTATTGGTTAACATGGTAGTAGGCAGATAACATTCATTGGTAAGTGGTTAGGTAGATATTGAATTAATACATGTAGTGCACTCACTAACAATGGTTTACTAACTGTTAGATTAATGCTTTGTCTAATAGTACATAAAAAGCATCTGCAGAAACCTCAACTAACTAACTAGCACACCCAATGTTTCGTGAACAATTCTTAATAAGAATTACATGTACATGGATAGATTCACTTAATCATCTGTAAAGCTCATTACAAGCTCTTTATAATTCAGCTATTATTCATTCTTATGTTCTTTGCCATTCATTTTTTATGTCCTTGAGATTCTGGCAATAGTAGAATATTTCTTCATTGTCAGGGGTAATGTCTGTGATGCTGAGAAGGAAAGTGTGCCTATTCATTTGAATGAGACAGAAAATCAAGTCCAGAAATGTACACATTGGCATAGCATACTAAAACACCTGACAATAAGAAGTTAAAGAACAATACATAGAAATGTTTATATAGGTGTTTTAACATGATAATAACCATATTTCTGCCCTAAAATGACCAAAGTTTTTTCTTGACGAGATAATAAACTTCATCCCTTCCAAAATTTGTAAAAAAAAAAAAAAAAATACAATTATTTTTGGGGTAAAAAAACCCCAACCCAGCATCAAGTCATTCGGATAGTATTAAAAAAGAGGTCCCATGTACACAGCATACATGTAAAGGAACCCTTGTTAAAGAAAAATAATTTAGCTGATTATCATTATTTGTTTAGTTAGTTTGGCTTATGTAAAAATACCCAACAAAAATCCAAGAATAGGAATTGAATGAGACACATCAAGATTAACCAGTTAATAAAAAGAAATAATGAAGTGATATATACAGGTTTCTCTCCGAGCAAACTCATTATGGATCACCTCTGATCTTTGGATAAACTTTAAATGGTTCTGTAATTTGTAAGACTTCAAATGATTTGTTCGGCTTTGAAAGAAAAGAATATCAATAATATCATTCTTTGTAAATTGAAAATAATTCTTACATGTACATTGGTTTAGAAAGAAAGTTTGATAAATGAATTAAATGTTAGGTGACTAATTTGTCAAATTGGAATCAATAGGAACGACCAAGTTAATTAGAAAATTCTTCATAATTAATGAGTTTACACCAAGAATTTCTTGTGTCTGGCTTATACCAAACATTGAATGTTCAGATGAAGTCGGGTCAAATTAAGCCTGTCAATTTCAACGCCACAATAGAAGTCTAAGGTTAAAAATATATTCTTTGGACAATAATGATGATAAATGTCCATCTGATGCAATGAATAATATATGTTCTTTTATAACAAAGAATTCCAATTTCGGTTCTAGTCACATGTTTGATTGTCACTGTACGTTAAAGTGGTTGATCTGTTCTAGGCGTTGAAAAAGAGCTGATATACAAATATAGACAATAGATTTTTTGTCCATGCTCATTATGTTATGAAGTAATACCCCATATATCAATACACATATACTAGTTTAACACAGAAACATTTAATCTAGATATTAAATCAAGAGTTCCTGATCCATTCAGAGTTGCATTCCTTAATTGCCTGAAACCGTCAATTGTATTTGCAAATGGAATGATCAAATTAAACTGTGAAGCCATCACCTACTATATCCTCTCTTATTTGAATTAGTTCCTGCTCTGATTAAAAAACAAATCAGCTGTAATCGAAAAAGTAAATTCTAGCCAGGCAGCTGTGCTGAATCTGTTGATATTTATTTTGATGATCATTTTGTTTTACTATTTTGTGAATTGTTTATATGTGACTTCTGATGACCCTGACTCCTGAGACTTCAGAAATTCAGGAACTTTGCTTTTTTCAAGCTTTGTTCTCCATGTCATTGGTGCAGGACGGAGGCTTGTCAAGGACATAAAGGAACCTCTGACATTTGGATTTGAAATAACAGAAGATGGTAATGCTGCTGTCCAGGGAAAAGTTTCCCTCGTAGCACACTCACGCTTTACAAGGAATAGGGTTGCCTGCCGAACCTCATGGGTTTTCTCCACTACTCCACCTACTACTAAAGACTCCAATAGTGAAATAAAACTGAACCATCTCTCCCTCTCTCTCTCTCTCTCTCACTCAAGGATTAAATGTTGAATCTAGCTCATCAAAAAGAGATCCCTATAATCTGACAGCATATTTGTAAACTGAAGATGGCTCTTCTTAATCCTTAGTGCATTAGTATAGATTGCACAAAAAAAAATCCTGAATCTCAATTATGGGATGAAAAGAAAACTTGAACACATTTTCATGACAATATAATTTGAAAAATTATCATGGTTGATAAATTAGATGTCAAACAGGAATTAGAATCAAACAGAGTCCAAAATAAAGCTTTCAAGCTAGTTGATCCTATGTGTTAAAGGTATTGGTTAAATATGAATGAATTTGTATGTCTTTAGAATAAGCAGTTTAGTCAGTCGAATTACTAATTTTAATTTTGTTTATGACCTAAACTTTGAACTCTTGAATATATCTCAGTGTTGGGCTGTTGGCAGCATGTAATGGACAGATTTCTTTCTGGCAAATCAGATTAACACATCATATTTAATCAAGACAACCGGTACAATTTATTTTTTTATCTGAAATACCATGATTCTGAACCAAAAAGGGCACCGTTCATGTATGCCGATCAGAATGACAACATTTTCTTTTAATACTCAAATTCCAGAGCATTCTATGATTCTGAAGTAAAAAAAACGGCACGTTTCACATATGCCGATCAGACTGAAATGATTTTTCTTTTTGGTTATTGCCCACCTTCCTAGACCATAGAAAATCCAATAGAATATTACCATTAGCCCTTCTAATTGACAGACTATGGATAGATGTCTGAAAAATGTTTACCTATTGTTTAACTTTCATTCTGTTTTCCCCGCATTTAATGAACAGAAACAGAATAGCATTACAGGTATTTAAATAATGTCAACAACATGATTAGTTAAACAAATCTTTTATGAAACCTTATTATTTTACTGTATAGGAAGTTGATGACTATATACCGGTAGACATTTTTTGCTCTGGATCTTGCTTTGACATTGAGTGAGTTTTCTTTCATCATAATCTTCTATTCAGTTGACATTTCTTAATTATGTAAAGCTGCATACAAATGGAGATTAATTGTGTAGAAGCAGATTGATGTTGGGACTAGATTTTTTTGTCCTCGTTAATTCAACATCATGGTTGTGTAAATGAAAATTTTGCTTCTTTCAATATTTTGACAGAGCTTGTCCATTCATTTTATAGGAGTCTATTGAAATATGACTAGGATGATTTGATCTTGTCTTTTAGCTTGCAAGTCTGTTTATATCACTGACAGTAATTTCTCTCTCTTATTAATCTTTATGTACAGAAGCTTCCAATATCTTTCATTTTGGCGGCAAATATCTAGTAATCTACCTGTCAGTCAATTTAAATACAGTCAAATCAAAATGTAATCTTTATCTCATACCTGTCAGTCAATTTAAATACAGTTAAATCAAAATATAATCTGATCTCACCATTTCTAGATCTGGTTGGCCTTACAGAACAGGATAATCTAACTGCTTATGTGTCATTTCTATGTATTTTTTTTATATGACCAGATGGATGTACATTGTTATCTGTAGTCCAGCAACAATTTAAATACTGTCAAATCAAAATTTAATCATTCATCTCATACTGATATGGTTTTAAGTGAGGTTGTCCTACCATGGGCATGGATTTAGGGGGGGGGGGGCATGATTTTGATCACCAGGACAGATTTTCAGGTTTGTATCCACATAATGGTGAGCTTGTTTCTACGTATCTGGAGCTGAATCGGGACTTGGAACAAGAATTGGCATTCTTCAAGCGCCAGTTTTCAGACAAATCTATTTCACTTGTGCTCGAAGCGTTCCTCATTATGACACCTCATGTGAGGCAGATGTTTCCTTCTGTCGAAGCTCTTCTCATCTCACACTGCTGAACTCTGCTAGTTCCTGCTCAGCCGAGGGATCCTTCAGCACTCTGCGCCGTATCAAAACTTGGCTGTGCAACTCCATGACGCAAAACCGACTGAGCTACTTGATGGCATGTGCGGTGCATAATGACCCCCTCCATGTCGCCAAGATATTCAAAGAGAACAGTCCTGAACTTAGAACGAACGTCTTTGGACGATTCAATTAACTTCAGGCTGACCTTAAAAATATCTTTGTTTCGCCTAACGCGACCGACTAACTAAAACCACCCCCGACTTAAATTATTTTATTGCACTTTTCCGCGATCTTTTTATTTTATTTTGTGTGTCAACCTGAAATATATCACGAGAGTTATTTCCCTTTATTATGGCTATGGTTTGATTCATTATTGAAACTGGTTGATCAAGACGAAAGCGTCATAGGTGTCGCTTCTCAACAAAATGGTTGCAGACGAAAGCACGTCCATTCCCACGAAATGATTCTGCCTCTATGTCTGTGGGGCGTCGTTTTAAACATGACGACGATATTTTCAATATCCGTTTTCGAGAAAAATAAAGGCACAACCCGCACGATCGTTAAAAACGTGTTGAGGGAGTTTCAAACGTGAGTTTGTCGCAATTTGTGTGCGAGTCGTGCATCAAGAAAAATCCCGATGCCGATGTCATTGATTTGTTTGCCAATAAAAGAAGACGAATGTTTGCACCCGGAAAATTATCAAGCTGTCAAATTAGCTCTTAAAAAAAAAATCTGAAAAAAACCCGACCTACCGACCCTTCTCCTCGATTGTGGGTCGGGTTTGGTGAAACAAAGATATTTTTAAGGTCAGCCTCATGAACAATGAATATTTATGCAGCTTTGATGTAGGTTGTCAATTTTTCCATATAGTCATCATATTACCTCTAGTTACAGCCTTCATCGAAATAACACTGGTACAGTAAACTGTTCGTAATTATTTATTTCGTTTGGTAATGGAATGTTCCAGATTCCAGGGTTTGTCCGCCCCCCATCCAAAAGTAATGACAAATCCACGCCCTTGTGCCCTACACAACATGAAGATATATCTACTTCTGTATCTTCTTCTTCTTTCCTAGAGTTTTACATCCACTTCCACCATGGGTGATATCGTAGACAGTCTTCTGTATCATTTCTATGTCCTTTTTATATGCCCAGATTACAATGTGGATGTACATTGTTGTCTGTCGTCTGGCCGGAACTTAATTATAGTCAAATCAAGATCTAATCTTTATCTCATACGATTCATGTTTGCCTACACAATCTTCTGTTTTATTTCTATGTCCTGTTTATACGTCCAAATATTTAATTTGGATGTACCTTGTCTGTCATACATTTACTCCCAAATTTATGAAATTTACAAATAAACTACTTATATTATATAACTACAAGAAAATCCAAATTATACTGTCTGCTGTAAAATATAAAGAAAACAAAAACTAGCTCAATTTTAGAAATTAGACAAAGAACAAATTTTAAGATTTTTATTGTTGTAATTGATGTAACATAGATTAAAATATCTGGTAAATATGTTTACTGTTGAATTAGAATCTAATATTGGACATGGTTATCTCTATTATCAAAACATTGATTTTTGAGATCTTTGACGTATATGCTAAGATGATCTTAATTTTGTATACATAAAAAAAATAATTATAAATTTTATTTTTCTAAATAAAAAGGTAATAAAAAAAAAAAAGAAGTGGAAGTAGGATTAAGCATTGTTGTTTATTTTTTTCAGGAGATAATGGACAGTTTGCAAAAGATGATGTGGCTTTGGCAGAGAATGAAGATTCTCCCTATATTAATCACATGGCTCTATATGAGGTAAGACGTTGCACTTCTATAAGATTTAGAATTTGTGATTTCCCAAAATTGCTTTGTGTCAATTGGACATAAAAAGCAATCTAGTGCTACTCATGAGTTTTGCCGAACTCTTTTGATGGGTATCTTTTAAATTGGATTAAATCCATGGTTGATATTTTGACTTTGTTTACTTAATTAAATGATCATGATCAATTTGAGTACATGTTAATGAAGATTCTAAAAAATGCAGATGATGCACAGATTATGGAACTCTATTAACTAGAGAAAATCATATGGTTAGCATGGGCAACCATATTCCTCTTCATTTACAAACGTGGGCTGGAACTCGTTCCCCTTCCATCGACTACTAGACCATAACCCTGCAAGATGAAAAATAATTATAAATACTGTATGAAACTATTATATTTGATAGGATGATATACAAACCCAAGGAAAGGTTTCACAGATCATCAATCGTATTTCGAACTACCAGGCCGGAATACAACCAAACCCTAACGAGATGGAGAAGGGAAAAGGTCAAAAGGTGAGATAATATTTATTGTTTTATCTGCAATTTAAAGATTGGAATCTGAGCAATTTGAGATATTTGGCGTGACCAAAATGCTGCTGCTGGCTTTGTTTGGCATGGTTCACAGTTGTAAGGAATCGTTCAGCAGGGCTTCTTGCATTGGTGCTTCATTGAAGTATTAATGTGTGAATTCACAGATACTGATCTAGAGATTCTCAAAAAACGTTGTAGTCATTGGATCACTAGGTAGGTATATGCTGTTGGTGAAACTGAAGTGTAGACAGTATTGTTCGTTTGATTTAGATTTCCCAGAGGATTGCATGTCTTTTTTTTGTGTAGTGATTACAAATAAGTCTGAGAAGGCTTCGGGGGAGACCTGAAATTAAATTTAAAGATGCTAAACATGTCTGTGGTAGCCTTCAAGTTTTCTTCCATAGTAATCAGTTTACACCGCCACAATTCACAGTTTTTATCTTAGACATGTTGTAAGCCATAGTATTAATATATTATTCCCTTCTGATATGTTGTTATAGAACATGTTTCTTTATTTTAGAAAGCTCACAATACACTATGCAAATTCATCTGGATTTTTTGTTGCCAGTTAATGACAACAATTCATCATGTCTGATAACATAGGAACATGTAATCTCCTAGCCAACGATTAAATTATTTTAATTGGATTATTTCTTTTATGAAAATAACATAGCGTGTCGTGAGCTTTAGAAAGAAAATGTTGTACAATTTTGATTTTCTTTATTTTTTTTTATTTTTTATTTTTTGATTCAGAGGAAAGTAAGTATTACATAGAAAATGTTAATTGTGTTGTTTATTTATTTGATTTAGTTATTTACTATTTATTTGTTAACTGTTATGAATGTATCACTTATTTGTACAATGAGATGAACAGATTTATATAGATATTTCTAGAACTTGCATTTAATGCATATATATGTACCTATATATATGAGTTTTTAAATGAAGAAAATAATGAATTTCCAGATAGCGGCATGTCATTATTGTCTTCAGTTAAGCTTTCATTATCATCGTATTTTGTAGATTTTAAAATATGTATACATGTATAATATAGTTATATTATTTCAATCTTGTTCATTTGCTTCTTTTTGTCCCCCTCCTTTCGAAGAAATTGAGGGACTATTAAAATGAGTCTGTCTATCCACACTTTTGGGGACACAATAACTCTCCTTTTTATTGAGCTTTAGCATGTTCAAATGTGGTTTAGGAGTTTATTAGGTGAATGCCTTGATGGAGCTCTAAGATAAGCATTTTCTGCTTAGGCTAAGCAGTGATAAGCGATTTAATTGGTTGATGCTTTGGGACCCGATAACTTTGGTTCTAGATCTAATTAAGTGATAGTGATGAAACTTTGTGTATAGTTTCATTACATCAGTACCTTAACTACTTTTGATGATGAGCATTTTCTGCTTGGTCGAGATTTGGAACGCATTAACTCTCCTTGTAATTGAGGTAGGATGTTCAAACTTGGTGTAGGTGTTTAGGAATGGCTTGACAGTGTTCGATCATGTGCATTTTCCACTAAGATAAGTAGCGATAAGCAATTTGATTGGTCAAGACTTTGGAACATAACAACTCTGCTTTAAGTTAAGACAGAATGTTAAAATGTTCATTAGGTGAATGTCTTGACTGAGTTCAATGATTAACATTTCCCACATTTATGCCCCTAGGTAGAAATTTCATTGGTCGATGCTTTGGGACAAGTTAACTTTGATTCTAACTGATTGAGAGTGATGAAACTTAGTGTATAGTTTCACTACCAGGTACTTCAAAAATTTACTTGAGTTTGATCTGAACATTTTCTGCTTAGAATAAGTATAGATAATCAGTTTGATTGCTCAATACTTTTGAAAAAGATATATGCAATTAATTCATATGTGTCATCTATTTTTTGGGGAATTGTGGTGGGGGACATCAGCCTCACTATTGGCTTGTTTTTTTTAATTTTTTTAAGTACCGGCACTTCTAACAGTTCTGATATCTTTGATATATGATCAATGTATCTTCATGCTTACATAAATGCCCTTAAACATGCCTTATCTATGAGCTAAATCTAACTATTACAGGTCTTTCTTTAGACCTTAAATGTTATCAAAATTATTAATTAGACATTAATTAACATGCCAAGATCATAATCAACTCTCGATGCCCTTGGATGGCTGCGATATAACTAGACTTGAATACATTTTGTGATCTATGCACTTACCCTAAAAATGGATAATCAAGACTTTATTATTGTAACAATGGTAGTAATAACGATCAAGGCAAGCCTAAAATTGAATCGCTAATATCTAGGTTCAGAGTGTCATAATTAGACTGAAATTTTCAGTATATTCTCTTTTCATTATCTATTTTTTAACTATTATAGCGAGAACTGTCAGCTCTTTATATCTAATCTTACCTAATGCCCCTTTAAACATTGATATGCGTTTAGAAATATTAACAAGGCATTATCACTTGCACCAATAACAGTAAGAATAACATTAAACATACATTATGCAAGAGCTAAATCTGCCAGTTGCAGGTCTTTTTCAGGCCAGAAATGTTATCTAATTTATTAATTAGACATTAATTAACTTATCAAGACCATAATCAACTCTCGATGGCATCGCTAGCCTGTGATATTTACTGGATTATGATCCCATTTGCTGCTCGACTTCCATTCATAAATTAATCATGAAATGGATGATCGAGACTATGTTTTTTATCGTACAGACTTTAGTAATGATGATCGAGGCTAGGCCGAAATTTCAATCGCTTAATTCTCGGTTCATAGTTGCCTTTACATTATCTAGTTTTTAACTATTATAGTGAGAACTGCCAGCTCTTTATCTTATCTCCCATAATGTATCTTTAATGCAAAACTATTCAAAATTACAAGCACAGGCCAACATAGAGCAAATCATTTTGTATTTGTGTTCACTGAAGCCCTCCCCTTTCCCAAATGTATATTTGAATCAACTAGCTATAAGATCTCCAAGGCAAGGCAGGATTATTCCATAGTTTAAAATCTTCAGTAAAAAAATCTATAGCTTGTGAGATTACAAATGTATGGACTATGGAGCTCAATTGATTCTCGTATTGATACTTTTTTTTTTATATTTTAGTAGTATAATTATTATTAGGTTTTCCATAATTTAATTTTTACCCAGCAAACAATTTTGGCAAATTTTGTTTGGATATCAAATTAGTGTGACTTTTATAGTCGGTTTCTGGTGATAAACTAAAGTTTATGACAAAAGACCTTCCTTATCCAGTACTTCCTCAGCAACTTGGCAACTGTGATGATACCACTGGTAAAGTTATTAAAATGTGGTCGTGTACTGTTGTAAAGTGCCTAATTGATGGTAAAATAAAATGTTCAATGGCATCATTATTATTTTATAGCCATGCTTTTACAGGTTTTGCTAAAATGACTTGGTGCATACATTTTATATCGATACTTGAGATTATGTATTTATTGCATTCATATGACTATGGGGAATATTTGTAGGCTACATAATAAAAGTCATAAAGATCATATCGACTTGGATGAATGATTTTTGTCATTAAAATTCACAATTTCCACATGGCCTTTACACAAACAATAACTTCATATAGTTGACAATTGATGAAACACTTGTAAGAAATCTAAGATATTTTTAGTTCATAAACCTGGTTATTTCTGTGGAAGGCTCTTAGAAGCCTTTATTTCTATTGTCCCTAGGGAAGATTTAATAGTTAGAAAAAAAGGCGAATAATGAAATTTCACAGGTTATTGCTACATTTTGCAAAGTTCAAAAATGATATTACCAGTAGGTAGTTGTGTTTAACTGGTTGATCAATGATAACTTGAATGCAAATGCTCTTAAAAAGTTAAATATAAACTGTTTTAGAGACTATTTGAAAAAAGTTCAATAGTTTGAGCTGAATATTCAGAACAAGGTAAATATTTAGGCATGCAATGAAATGCTAAAATTTAAAAAAAATGTTAAAATATTTTAGCATTTCATTGCATGCCTGAAAGAAACCCCTTTTTTTTTCGGATAGCTAGTGAAAACTTCTTAAAGTTTGTATTCTATCTACTCTTTTTCAGCTCAGAGTTAAAACTAGCAATCTTTTGTAGTTGTACCCATTTTGATTTATTTGGATAGCTCACAGAACTAACTAATCTTATTGTAATTTAACACCTACATAATCATACTTTAGAATATAGTCAAGCCTGCAAAAACAGGCACAGATTTGTCTGTTTCAGTTTTATCATTGATACGTTAAATACATGTCCAAAAGTTTCAAAATTTCATGTACCAGTACATTAGTGCTTGAAATTTAGTGAGGTACAACCTAAATCAATATTTCTGGGTCTGCATATATGATTTAAAATATTGTTAGAAAATATGACATTAATCTGTTGGATAAGTTCTGTTTCATTGAATCTCATCCAAGCTAATAAAATTGATGATCATTTGTAAAGCTCCCAGTTAATGTTTCAATAAGGTTTAAGAGATATACATATACTTTGTAAGTTTTTCTGAATAAGGTGGAAACAAAATGTAAGTCAACTCATAGAAGCAGGTTTTACAATACATATTTGATTTTATTTCTATGTATTTCAGAAAGCCAACCTAGGAACAGCATTAGGAGTATATCTACCATGTATACAGAATATTCTTGGTGTCCTCTTGTTCGTCCGTATGACATGGATCGTTGGAATGGCTGGAGCATTAGAGTCTTTCTTTATTGTTTTGATTTGTTGTTGTACGGTAAGTAATTTTAATCTTTTAAATGATTATTTTGCGGCAAAGTGTTGTCTGTTAAACAGCCATTATGAAAGAGCAAAATCTGCCTGTTGCAGGTCTTTCTTTAGGCCTGAAATGTTATATAAGTTATATAAGTTAGACATTATTTAACTTACAGGACCATAATCAACTCTTGATGCCATCGCATGACTGCGATATAAAAAGATTTAAATACATTTTGTGCTCGATGTGGTGACCTTAAAAATGGATAATCAGGACTTTGTTTATTATCATAACAACAGTAGTAATGGCAATCGAGGCTAGGCTATAATTGTATAGTCAATATCTAGGCTCAGAGTGAAGTAATTTGACTGAAATTTTCAGCATATTCTCTTTTTATTATTTATTTTTTAACTATTATAATGAGAACTGTCAGCTCTTTATCTAAATCTTACATAATGCCGCTTTGGCTTAAGTAAAGTGATGTTTCTTGTAAGATTTCATAAATTAAGCCACCGATTGTCTTTTGTATTATTTTGGAGAATATCTAATTTTACATAGAATAATCCACGCTAAATTGTACCCAGATTTAATAACATTTAATTAAGGACACAAAACCAGCATGTTGATGGTACATAATCTTCCGGCTCTTGGATTCATTAGGAATAAAAAGAGCCCCATCAAATGATTTTATATCATCTGCAAAATGTACCAAATGTTGCAAAATGAACAGAATTGGAACTGATATTCTTTTTAAAGATTTAACTTTCACAATATAGTAGTTGGAGAATGAATCAAAATCTCTCAGAGGTTTTAAAGTACTTTTATTGTGGCTTGCTTGGCAAGGTTTTAGAATATGTGCCTCAGTCAACAAACCAAAATATCCTCAGTAGTTTGTACTAGATGGCTGGGTCATTAAGTTCATGTTTCTCCTCAAGATTGTGGTAGATAATTATTTATTTTGATATAGTCCCTCATAAAAATATAACCATAGTTTCATGTAGAGGATGCAGGAAAACTGCAAAATCAGACATAAAAAAACATTCAACTGCACTTCAGAATGTATCCTCCACTTGTGCTATCCATATTGACAATGTCCAGTGAACATCATCATTACCACATGATCAGGCATGTAGTATTGGATGAAATTGGTAGACAGATTCTAATATAACTCCGAACATTTGATTTTTATATGAATGAATTCTCTCATCTGAAGTACATTGTATTTTATGTATTTTTTTCAGACTATGTTAACATCAATATCCATGAGTGCTATTGCTACAAACGGTGTCGTACCTGCAGGTGGTTCTTACTTTATGATATCTCGAGCGTTAGGACCCGAGTTTGGTGGAGCTGTAGGTGTGTTATTTTATCTGGGGACATCAGTGGCTTCCTCTATGTATATCATTGGTGCCATAGAAATTCTTGTGGTAAGGTTTAACAGGTTTTTTTTTTATAGTTTGGGAAAGGATTTAGTAATGATACTGTACTGGAAAGATTTTCTATTTTCTTTTGGTTTGTAAATGATTTGTGAATCTAATGATGCTGAGAAATACTGGTAATATGTAGATATCAAGGAATTAGAGAAATTCTTCACAGCTTTGTCAGACGCGGATCCGGGATGGGGGAGGGGCCCCCCGCGCACGCCCCCCCCCCCCTATTTTTTGCAGTGGCGAACAATTTTTTACCCCATATATTCTTGCAGGAAAGGAATTAACAGTCAGTTTAGGTTGGAAATCATAATTTACTCCGAAACGAGTCGGTTCGAGACTTGGTTGGTTGCCTGTCAGTCCTCCCACTCCCAAGCGGGGGCAGCACACCACACCCCCTTTCTGAAAATCCTGGATCCGCTCCTGTTTGTTGCATGATGTCAAAGAGTCATTTCTACACACCTGTCTCTCATGATATGTTAAAACATTAATTCTCTGGACATTTTATAACATAACATCAAATACTGCTGGAAAGAATGACTATGTTTCATTCCAATTTGCGTTCCCGCAGTGAATTTTGTATGATACAGTAGATCTTAATTATTGTTTACCATAAATCTATCCGTAACTTTTTACGTAAGACCAAACAGTAGGTCTTAATTATTGTTTTCCATAAACCTATCAGTGACTCTTTACGTAAGACCAATTAGTAAAAATTTTAACAAGGTTATATGTTTTAACATTTTCAATCTGATTGACATAAATTCTTTAATTATATTTCAGCTATATATGGCACCACAGATTAGTTTATTTGAAAATCCGTTTCACAACTATAGGATATACGGAACGTGTGTATTACTCTTACTGTGTATAGTTGTGTTTATTGGCGTCAGTTTTGTCAGTAAATTTGCCACGCTGTCTCTTGTCTGTGTTATCATATCTATATTGTGTATTTATATTGGTATCTTCGCAGCAAGTGTCGACAATAGTTTACAGTGAGTATACTTTTACTTTAGTTTTTATACGCCCACATTGAAATGTGGTCGTATATTGTTGTCGCCCCCGTCCGTCAGTCGGTTTGACCGTCCGTCCGGCATCCACAATTGCTTGTGGACGCTCTATAGGCTAAAGTTAATATCCGATTGACTTTAAATTTATACACAGTGATTAAGGTCATGAGACGAAGAAGAATATTGATTTTCAGCGATTTTTGATAATTACTGCCAGAGTTATGGCTCTTGATCACTTCATAAAATCTTGTGGACGCTCTAAAGGTCAAAGTTAATATCCGATTGACTTTAAATTTATACACAGTGTTTAAGGTCATGAGACGAAGAAAATTTTTGCCAGAGTTATGGCCCTTGATCACTTTGAAAAATCTTGTGGACGCTCTACAGGCTAAAGTTAATATCCAATCGACTTTAAATTTATACACAGTGTTTAAGGTCTTGAGACGAACCAGTATATTGATTTTCAATGAATCTTTATGACTTAAACAGCTAAATCCATGATGTTAAAAGTTATGGGGCCAGAACTTTATAAAAACCAAACAAATTCTAAAGTTGTACGTGGGTTTTCTCCGGATTCTCCGGTTTCCTCCTACTGCTAAAGACCCTTACGCACAAGTGAATTATTGAAATAAAATTAAACCATATGTTAGTCCCGAAATTACCTAGTTTGTGTCGAGTGGACGTTAAACCCCATTTCTCTCTCTCTCTCTCCTAACAATGTTTGACTACAGTTCTCCTGAATGCTATCAAAATCCTCTGTCAGACTTGAATTAACTAGAGTTGCTTTATTTTTCATACTAATCAAAAATCTTGGGATGAATGAGATCTGAGGATATCTTTTGAATATTCGTACTTCAATCATGACTTTGAACCCAAGACTGTAATTCACAAAGTTCCTTGTACTACTGTTAAACATGTTTTGAGTTTCACCAAAGTTATAAGTCAAATAGACTGTACTTCTTTTAAAAACTTGGGAGCCATGGTGGCTGAGTAAGGTGCTGGCAAAATTTCTCTCAAAACAGCCTGGTGGGTGCACAAAAGTAGAATATTATTACATCCCATTTCATTTCATTTTGTTATCAAACTTGTGAAATTCAATGGTTTCCTGCTACTGCTGAAGATCCCAGTATGCTTGGTAAATAATGCAATAAAAGTGTATCCATATCAGTTCTAAAATTCTGTTTATCATTTATGTTTATTTTTTTCTATAACAGGGTGTGTGTTTTAGGGGATCGTCTATTGACGTCAGATTCTATAACACTGAATGGTACATCTATGTGTACCAAAAACGAATCCGGTCCAATATTTCAGCATTATTGTAAAATGGATAACAACACCCCTGTTTGTGATGATTACTTCAAAAACAATGAAGCAAAATGGGTGCGTGGTATACCTGGTCTAGCAAGTGGTGTTTTTAAAGGTAAAACTTTCCCATTGCTTATCTAATATTTTACTTACCTATCTAAATGAGGAGACTTGTTGACTATATTCCTGGTGGCGTTAATTCATAAGAAAATAATTTGCTTTGTGGGCGGGGTGTGTGGGTGTGTGGACAATGCCCTTTGGATAAAGATGATGTGAATGGTTGAGGAGAGTTGTCATACCTCACAATTTTCAATAAAGCATTGAGGTGTTTTGGGTTGGAACAAGGGTTCTTGTTTCTGTCCTATGTCGTCGATTACAGAACAGTGTAGTCACGATTGTCATTATAATAAAAAAAAGCGTCCATTTTCCATTTTTAAATTTAATCATTAACCACAAATCATATTTAAATCTGTTGAAAATCTAGAGCATCTGATGGCATCGAGAGTTGATTATTGTTTTGGCAAGTTAATAAATGGCTTAATTAATAATTTATTTAACAGGCAGATTTAGCTCTTGAGAATAATGTCCCTTTAATCCCATTAAATTATAATTTCAATGAACTTAACCTCAAAACATAATAGAGTTATATTTTGAAGTGAAAATCCTTGTTGATACTATTACAAAATTCTCCAGATAATCGGAACACTTATATTAAAATACATTCCAGTATCATCTAAATTTTGTCCTGTTAGTATTTCCAAGTATTTCAGTTTTATTTGATAAATTATTTTATCTATTGTAGAGAATTTACATAATCGTTATACAGAGGCTGGAGATGTGATTGGATCAGAGACACCTGGTGACAGTAGTAGAGGAGAGATTATATCTGATATAACAACAAGCTTTATGATTTTATTGGCTATCTACTTTCCTTCTGTAACGGGTAAGTCGGGGGTTACCTCCCCTGGGTTAGCTTATTCGTCAGCATATTAAACTTTGTTTCTTGGCATGCTCAATAAGGAGAGTAGCAATCCGATTAAAATACAGATCTATATTTTGTTTCGTTTTTTTATACTTTCGATGGCCTACACTACATGAAGATCTGACAAGTTATAGCGATAGGTCAGGTCAGGGGTCAAAAGACCGCTTATGACCCTATGAAGTCAGACATTTGATTAACCAATCAGCATTGATGTTACTAATGGATTACCCACAGTTCCATGCAAAACACGCCTAAAGCTCGCCGTAACAGACCGTTTCATTGGCTTATCCCTGACACCATTCAGAACATGAGTTAAATAACAACTCTTCCAGATCTAAGTGTAGTAAAGACAAGTAAAAAGAAATTTTGAACTATAAAAACGAAACGAAATAGGATCTGTGTTTTAACCAGATTGGGAGAGTAGCTGTTAGGATCTTATTAATTTAAAGAGGCATTATCACATTCAACAGGAAAATAGATATGATGCCATGTTCAAAACAACCCTTAGACACACCTACACTTTAGTTAATAAAGATCCACAAACTCCTTAGAGATTAGAGCTACGCATGTTTCACAAGCGTGCATTGAACTCCTCATAAATCTCTGTTGTCTATAGTATGTTTAAGTCATGTGAAATTGTAGACTGTCCATAACTCAGCGATAGACCGCCCTATCTGTCTCAAATATTGGTTACAATACAAATAAGAGAAGTTTTAAGAGCCAAATGTATTTTATCTTGGGGGGGGGGGGCGGGGAAATAATTTTAATTGAGTAAGATAGGCATTATCCAATAATGAGTAGCACTTCGGCATTTTCAAAGTATCATTGAAAGGGTCTATGGGGCTGGCATTTCAAATCTAGGCATCGGAACATTGGCTATTTGGTGTATTATTTTCAAAGTTGTTAAATACTTTTAAAATTCGACAATAATTTACAGCCTAGATTAGTTGTTTGAGACACAAATATCATATGTTTGTGACAATTCTCAATAGTTTCTGTTATCCATAATGCCATAAAATTCAAGAGATTTAGTTTATCGATACGCGCATTATTTGAAGCCTGCGAGTAAATCAAATGCCAAGGTCACGAAAGCAGCATACAAGTTCAAGCCCAACCCATTGATACTTTTCGAGACGAATAATGCCCAATAACATTCATTATTTCATCCCTCTACGACTGTCTGACCATTTGCAAACATTGCTACATTGATATTTTAACCGTTAGTTCAACGTGTCAACAGTTTTCCGTTTCAAAGCATATTTTAACTAAAATCTATTAAAATTGCATTTTAAGTTACAATCAATCTTTATGAAACGCATAAAATTTAAAATTTAATTTTGATTTTAGTTAAAATCTATTTTAGTGATTTTAGCTTTTTGTGAAACAGGGCCCTGATTTAATTTAACTTGAATGTTCTTGAAACATTTTAGCATCTTTTTCACTCACGCATTATAGCTGTATAATTCATATTACAGGTATAATGGCAGGCTCTAATAGATCCGGAGATTTAGCAGACGCCCAGAAATCTATACCAACAGGAACCATATTAGCTATATCTACTACTACTTTTATCTGTATCTTTTATAAAGTTGAATTGTACAAGATTTTAATGTGTTCACTGTCTGTTGGTCCATCAACATGTAAAAAAATTTTGTCTGTACTATAGTCTTAAGAGTTGAGACTGCAAGATAGCAGTGGAAAATTATACCACTTCGCATGAAATCAAAGTGACACTTTGTGGTTGCTTATTGGCAAGATCTCAATATATTGTCACTGTTCGTTTAGAAAGAAATTGTCACTAGTCAGTGAAAAAGATAAATTTAGACTCAACTTCGGAGACATGGATATGGCCATTGTATGATACTAAATGATAGACTGGTTCACTGGGTTCCATCTATGTTTTAGCAGAGAAATTAACTCAGGATCGCCCTGTCTGGTTTTCTCTTGTTAATGGTGCAGGACAGACGGAGCGACAAAGAAAAGTGTCTAGTCGTTTGGATGGATACAAACATGCCTGACTGTAAGAAATCAGAATAAAAGTAGACTAATTACGTATGCCAATTTTCATTATCCCAGTTGATACAGAAAAGTTAGGATGATAGGAAAAATATAATATACAATGCTAGTCTCGTTGGTGTATGCAGAATCTGAGCATATAATTTATGTTCTTTAACAGTATAAAGATATAACAGGTGTATTTTTCTTCGCTGCCTGTATAGAAGGACATTTACTTAGAGATAAGTAAGTAACATAAGGATTTTATTTAATTTGATCATTTAACATTATATATATATTATCACCCAATAATACATTCTACAGTAGATATCGCTTGTGTGATATATTTCATAATATATCATGGAGATCTCCTAAGGAGATATCGCTTTACATGAATTTGATTGGTCAGTTGAAAAGGAACTACTTTTTTTTTATTTTCAAAGAACAGTTCATTTATTATTAAAATTAACTTTTTTTTTTATTATAATGAACTATTATTATTCAATTGACCTTGATGGAAAGACTGGGTCGATATAAAGGACTTTGCAATGGTTGAATTGCTGTCAAAAACTGATGTATCACTATGCCGTAATGTTCAGTAAAAGTGAAATCTACAGCAAAGAATTATATTTATCTATTTGTGCATGTAAGAAGGGATTGGGTGATAAATAAAATATCCTACTCGTCTTTTTTGATATAAAAAAATATCAACACTCAGTGATAAAGTAAAAAAAACTCTGCAGAGCCTCGTTTATTGTTACTTTATCAACTTGTGTTGATATTTTTTGATATCAAAAAAAGACTGGTAGGAGATTCTCTATTTATCAATAAAGTTTCTCAGATGTCATGATAAAGCATGCAGTTAATTTTCTTCTGTACATCTGAATCAATAATTTGTTGTGATGATGTATGCAAGGGCTGAGATGGGTGGATGATAAGACAAATTAAGCATTTAAGTCTAAGAACTGGTCAATGAAATTTGATTCCATGTTCCTCATCAATTTTAACTTTATAAAAGGGAAAAATACTGAATTTAATATTTAGATTTTTGGCACAAGTTCAGGATTTATTTATATACTTTGTTGTCTTATATATACATAAAAAATGAAAATGTCCATTCAGAGAAATCCACTACTTATACTTCTTCATTCTGATATACATCAAAGCTATGCTCTTAATTGAACATCTTGAGGTATTATAATGCATATTGTGGGTTAATAACCTTCTATACTGATTTCATCCATGGTATCCCCAGCGGTGGCTAAGTGGGTAGGATGCTGGATCGCTTCCCTGGAGGTTGTGTGTTTCATCCCTGCATTGGCCGAGAAAGTTCATCGGGAATTACTGACGCGGTTACCCTTTGTCAGTATTGCAGGACAGGGGGCCTGACAAAGACAGCTGTCTAGTCATTCAGATAGGACGGAAAACCAAGGTCTAGTGTATACATTGGTGTTCACGTAAAAGATCCCTTGGCATTGGAATTCAATATAAGATTAGGCCATAGTGCTGCTGCCCGAGCAAAATTTCCCTCATAGCACACTGTATGGCATATGCCCGTCTTCATTAGCCCAGTAGGAGCAGAACAGTAGGACATTAAACCCCATTTCATTTCATTTTCGTCTAATCCCCCAGTCGTCTCATTCCATTCTACTCCACTATACCCTGGGTTCGTCCATGGGTATTCACATATTCAAATTATCTTCCCTTGATCGAAGCTTGATTCAACGACCCAATTAAAAAAAAAACAATTTACAAACCAGTCTTAGCCTCATTGTTTACACGCTCACAACAATATGGTGGCTTGTTTGCTCGATTATGAGATTGTTTGAAAGAAATTTAATATAAAAGAAGTGACATGTACACAAAAAGCAAGCAGTGACAAGTCATTATGCTATCAAGCATATTAATAATAGCACAATTATCAAGGGCAGATAATTTGAATATGTGTCTCCCCCATGGATGAACCCAGGGTATAGTGGAGTGGAATGGAGTGAGACCACTGTGGATACCGAGGATGTACTAATTTAAGATAATTATTTGTTCATGTACATGTATCTCTAAATATACAGGTCTATATATTTTGTGTTGTTTTGGTAGATATGGAGAGAGTATAAATGGAGGTCTTACTATAGGTTTTTTAGCCTGGCCCAATGAATGGGTCATTATGGTTGGTTCCTTTTTATCAACGCTTGGTGCTGGTCTCCAATCATTAACAGGTAATAATTAATTGAAGTAGTTCTCCAGTTAAATTCTCTAATCTACTCTACAGTATGAAAACATACAGCCAACTTATACTTAAAGCAGCTAAGTCCGTAACTCAATATCATTCAGAATCTTCGACATTGAAAACACGATTTTTTTTGCAATTAAATCAGCATTGGTGTTGTGATCTTACCTGGAAAAGATGGGCTTCTGATATCCAATATTTAAGACAAAATAAACATTTTACCATTGGTACACAAATCGTGTACCATAATGCGTTTCAGCGCCATTTGTAACAAGGTGCTCAAAGAATGAGGCTAGACATATTCCACAAGTCATGTCAAACGGTGATATCATGTTTTTATTTGGAGAGCATGCACAATAAATAATATCGGTGTTGACTTGAATAACCAGATGCTAGAAACTGACTTGCGGTCTAGACTTCTGGCGTATTTCGCCGAACATAACTGATGACAATTCACAGTAAAACGGACACGATTGAATGTAAAACAGTTTATATAAATTCATATTACGTTATTATATGTGTTGCGACCCATTTGTGCCAATTTCTAGATCCAAAATATTAGCGATTTAGCTCCTTTAATTTGGAATTTAACATATTGTATCTACTTGTAATTGCTACCGCTGCAAATCTTTTCGAGAAAAGGGGGTGAGTCTTGGGTGGATTTTGTGAACCGCATTGATGAGTCCATATTTGATATTTGTTTTTCAGGTGCTCCCAGATTGCTTCAAGCTATAGCAAAAGATAATGTGATACCATTCTTAAACATTTTCTCTGCAACGACTAAACGTGGAGAACCATTCCGTGCCTTAATACTGACTGCCGTTATTTCGGAGATTGGAATTCTTATTGCTAGTTTGGATTACGTGGCACCTATTATTACCATGTAAGTTAGCATGTGTCAATTAACTTAATATGTGATCGTAACAAGCTCTCTGATATGATGAATCACAAGTTGTGTTATATGATTGATGCGCAGGAATCTCATTATAGTCAAATTAATAATAATGATAATAACAATTACTGTGGGAACATGAAGTAAGTTTTTATCAGCAGAGCGTTGACTAACTGGTAGTAAAATTGAACGGTTGAAGAACTTTCCTGACAATCGATGTACATTACATAAGATTGGATATTTCAATGAATTTAACCTAAATTTTAAAACACAATAAATAGAGTTTAATTTATAGTTTTTATGTGTTAAAATATATTTGAAAAATGTGATGCTAAAAAATTGTTATATTCTTTTAAAGAATATCTGGCCAGCTGGCAAAATTATAAAGTGGAAGCCTAGTTGTCGCTGGATACAAAGAGGTGTAAATTTTCCCTCTTGAATAATTATTTTGATGAAATATTTTGAATTTAGATAATTAGGATATAGAATGTCCTGAGTTGAAACCTTGCATGGATTGAGAACAGCCCTCAAGTATATGAGTTTTTGCGATAAAATATATGTTTAATATTGCAACATGTATGTATTTTGCATTTAGTTATATAAATTGATATTGGATAAAGTGTCTTGAATAGAATAAATGTGTGATATTGCTAGATATATGTATTTTATAGGTTTTTCTTGATGTGCTATGGATTCGTAAACATGGCATGTGCACTACAGACTTTATTACGAACACCCAACTGGAGACCACGATTTAGATTTTATCACTGGTGAGAATTATTTGACATATAAAGCTAAAACATATAAGATATTTTTGTTCTCTTCGGCATAGTCTGTAGAATATTTTTAATGAATCCGGAAGTATACTATATGCAACCCTGATATATATTATTGACAATCATAAATGATACTGGATATTCATACATTCAACAACGTATTGAGATGAATGTAGTACCTTCAAATGATATATTTTAAAGAAGTCATTTAGCCCAATAGTGATCCTTTGGCCAAAAAAAAAAAATATAAATAAAAACAGCATCAGATTTTTGAGAAAGATTGTTTGTGAACCAGAATATTATTTCTTTATTCAAACACATACTACCATTTGCAGTATACCTATCAAGTTTTGGTTTTTGAAAAAGCTAATATGAGTGACTATCATGCCATAATTTTGTTTATTTCAGGACCTTGTCTCTGATAGGTTTAGCATTATGTATAACGTTGATGTTTATATCTAGTTGGTACTATGCATTGGCGGCCATTGCTCTTGCCTTCTGTATTTACAAGTATATTGAATATAAAGGGTAAGATGTTTTTATTGTAGAATTATTATTTTGAACTAACATTAGTAAACAGTGATTTCTAGCTTTACATCATCATCTTATCAAGACAATTTTTCATAGTTCTTTCCTTGTTAATGAAATTGATTATTTAACATGCAATTAGAAAAACAAAATCAAAATATCAACTGCTTAATCCACCCTAATAAGATGTACTCAAATTGAGTATTTAGCATTTAATAAGAATAACAAATGAAAATATTAAAGACAATCTCTGGTCTGGTTTCATCTTGTTAGTGGTGCAGGACAAAGGACCTGGGGAAGGAAAAAGTAAGGTCCCGTGTACATATCAGCGTGTATGTAAAAGAAACCTTGGGGTAGCTGCAATTCAAAGAAGACAATGTCTCATAGCCACTAGGGGCCGGGTATCATTTAGATTTGATGAAAAAAGGAAAGAAAATGAGCTTACCATCTATAATCTAATACACATATTCAGTTAATAGATTGTCATGCAGAAAGTGTTAAATACCATCAAGATTCATCAAAAACTGCCCAGTTTGTGCTACCGTTTAGTTTGACATCGGTTGTCTAGTTTATGAAACTAAATGGTCATAAACTGGATAACCAATATCAAAACTAAACTAAATGGTCATAAACTAGATGACCGATGTCAAAACTAAATGGTGTTTCTTAAACTAAACGGTAGCACAAACCGGGCGTTATTTGATGAATCTTGATGGTATTTAATACTTTCTGCATGGCAATCATTAACTGAATATGTGTATTAGATTATATATGGTAAACTCAGTTTCTTTCCTTGTTTCATCAAATCTGAATGATACTTATTATCACATTACTTTGGTGCAGAAAAGTTCGATGTTATACTCAACTTCATTTTTTCTCATTAATCTCTAAAAGCAATACTGTATTTTATTGTATTTTGTTTTACTAGAGCTGAGAAGGAATGGGGAGATGGTATTAGAGGGTTGGCTATGTCTGCTGCTCGTTATGCTTTGTTACGTTTACAAGAAGGACCACCTCATACCAAAAACTGGAGGTCAGTATAACAAAAAAACTGTCCTAAAAGTGAAATATTATTATAGTAGTTCAATATATTATCATCTGTATACCATAAAACCCCATGTACAACATAACACCATTTTGACAAGGGCATTTCCATCTGCACAAGGGTTGCCTTTAATCCAAGAGAATAAGGAAGTTATTTCATTTCAATGCACAATAGATTGATCCTCTTGTTGAACCACTGGCAAGTTTGCTGTATGTCTGACATCAGAATAGCTCATATCACTGACCCAAATTACAGTATATGCCTCAATAGTTGACAAAATTCACACTTGTACAGTAATAATCCAATTCAGTTAGATTTGTATACATAGAAAAGCACTGATTGAAAACAAATTTGTTTGAGCAAATAATATCTTTATCATCATCTGGTTTTGGGGGTTTTTTTCATGATAGATTTAACAAATTTAATTGTAAAAGTTGGATATTTAGTTTTGAATGTGGTTTATGTTGTGTGTATTTTTTTTTTTCAGGCCACAGTTGTTAGTATTAATGAAAATAGATGAAAATCTTCAGCCAAAATATCCGAAAATGATCAGATTTGCTGGTCAACTGAAAGCAGGTAAGATATATTAATTTATCCATATTTGTTGTCATCATTCAAAATATTGTCCTGATGTTTGACAATATGGGGATGTTAGGTACACATGTTAACATATATCAAACAAACTATATATGAAAATGGGTGTTGGGTGTCCGATTGTTTAACATGTGTATGTTAGATCATAAGGTCTGTCATTGAGCAAAGTGGCATGGCTTCGTTTGCTGGTGGGGGGTTGGATGGCCGAATGGTTAGCACATGCACGCTGTATCATAAGACCTGTCATTGAGTCAACTAGTGTGGTTTCGAATCCTCGGTTGTACGTGACAAGTAGTAGGGTCGCCTGTCCAACCTCGTTGGTTTTCTCCGGGTCCTCTGGTTTCCTCTCACTGCTAAAGACCCCTACACACAAATGAATTATTGAAATAAATTAAACCATATGTTAATCCCGAAATGACCTAGTTTGTGTCGAGTGGATGTTAAACCCCATTCCTCTCTCTCTCTCTTCCGTTTGCTGGCTTGTGACAAGTGCAAGTAGTAGGGTCGCCTGCCCAACCTCTTGGGTTTTCTATGGTTTCCTGCCAGTAGTAAGACTCCATTGCACAATCTAATTATTGAATAAACCCCATTTCTCCCTCTCTCTCTATACATAAAACTAGCTACAAATTTAAACAATATTGAGGTTTAATTTTTGTAATATTATTATTGGATATTTATAATATCCCTATTGTTTTATTGACTGTTTTAAAATAAAAATGTTTTATTTTTCATCTTGACAGGAAAGGGTTTGACATTAGTATCAAGTGTTCTTGAAGGTAACTATATAGAAAGATATGCTGATTCTCAAGCTGCAAAACTTGTAAGTACATTCACCAGCTATTTCTTGTTTAAGTTATGTACATGTAATTGTGGGGTTGCTCAATTGTCAGTCCGGAACGCTCCAATCGAGTGATGTAGAATTCAGTCCCGTCACAGTTCTGTCAGTCCCGAAAACAGAGGTGGTGTGAGTAGAATCGTGACGTAATGAAACCTAATGAATATGTTTCAGCTGTCATGGTTGGTTGAGATATTTTCTCATGCAGTCAGCACATGCGTTCTATCCCAAAATCTCATTTCAATTCAAATGTCACTGTTTTTAGGTTTGACAATTTCAATTCCGAAACGTTCAATCAAGCATCCCTATTATGTGGTCTAAGGGGAGATAATATGACTGTAAGGACATAACAAAAGAGTTATGTCCCCTTTATTTTCAAACTTCATTTATAATTTTCTGATAATATTTTAACTTGTGTACTGAAAGTGTTTTAACTATTTTGTAGCATCTAGACAAGTTAATAAAAGATAGTGGTGTAAAAGGATTTTCAGATATAACTGTTGCTCCTAAAATAACCGAAGGATTATGTTACTTGTAAGTAGCTCATCTAATATATTTCAAACTTTCCTGGCTGTAACCAAGGTCATGATATTTAACCCTTTGAACCTTTGTGACCAGTTGTCTGGTCGTGATATTGTAGTACCCTTGGATATAAACAAATAAAGCAGCTTTTCACAATCAAAATACGAGCAACTAGTTCTCTTCACTTGTTTATGCCCAGCACAGGAATAGGCGATGAAACTTTCAGGGGTCAAAGGAAAGGAAATGAAATGGGGTTTAACGTCCTACTGTTCTGCTCCTAAACTGGGCTAATGAAGACGGGTATACGCCATACAGTGTGCTATGAGGGTAATTTTACCCGGGCAGCGGCCCTATCGCCTACTCTTATATCAAATTCCAACTGCCAAGGGATCTTTTACGTGCATTCCAATGTATACACGGGACCTCGGTTTTTCGTCTCATCCGAAGGACTAGACAGCTTTCCTTGTCAGGCCCTACGTCCTGCATCACTGACAAGGGGGAACCACACCGGAAAATCCGGATGAAATTTCTCAGGCAATGCGGGGATCGAACACCCGACCTCCAGGCTAGCTAGCCAGCGTCTTACCACTTAGCCACGTGATTCCCAAGGGGTCAAAGGGTTAGCCAACAAACTTGAAAGTTGAAAGATTTAACAGTTTTATTCATAAGATTGAGGGAAAAAAAAGATCAACTGACCAAATCAAGAATAGTACATGAATAATATTTTTATAACAGGAACTGTTCCCAAGCGCTACTCATCTTGTTCTTGTAGTTGTTCTAGTGTGTGTCACTCCTTGAAACAAGCCTAAGGCTCTGCCTATTCATCTATGATTGACATGAAACTTGGCATGCTTGTTCCTTGGTCAACAGCACATCAATTGATGGACTTCGAGTTTTGATATGTCACAATTCCAAGATGACTGCGACGTAGTCATACTCAGTTTCTGGTCTTGGTATGGTTGTATTTGTTTCTGTAGAGGTCAAGAATATTATTTTACTGTTTCAGAGTTCAGAATTCTGGTTTAGGAGGACTTAAACATAATACAGTTGTTATGGGTTGGCCGTATGGCTGGAGACATACAGATGACACCAGAAGTTATAAAGTATTCATAGGTATTATTAATTGAAAATATTATTTTCAAATTAAGAATTTAATTTTCTAAAACCCATTTTATGTGTCTTGAAAGAGCTGAACCTCTTGGATATAGTGTAGAATATACAGGCAATGTTTTTCTTGCACTGCACCAATCATGATCCCAGAGATATATTTACCCATTGCTATATACCTGGTCAAACTTGCCAGCCATTAATCAGCCATTTTGAATGTCACATGATGTATACTTTCGCCAGTCGCTTCACAGGTTTAGCCGAATCACATTGCGTGCTAAAAATAGTTCCCGGTAAATCATCAAATTGGCTGTTTTTGAATGAACTTTTGATATCAAGATGTGGAAAATATTCCAAGGATCATTAGTATGTAACTCGTGCAACGAATCAATGCTAAATTGTCGAGAAATCAGCAGCATTTCATTTTAAGTGATTTCACGCTTATTATTGGGATCGAGATTGGCATTGCTCATGTGGGCATTATAAATAAACAGTAAATATGTATTGGTCTTTCAATGATATGAGTACAGAATTCATATTAGCATTCTAAAGAGATTAGTCATTTATACCTTTTATTTCTTAATACAGACACCATCCATAATGTTAGTGCTGGACAGATGGCCTTACTAGTTCTAAAGGGTATCAACCAATTTCCTGAAGCTAATGAAAAGTTACGTGGTACAATCGATGTATGGTGGATTGTCCATGATGGAGGATTACTTATGTTACTGCCATTTTTATTACGACAGGATAAATCGTGGAAAAACTGTAAATTACGAATATTTACTGTAGCTCGTATCCTTTTATTGCTTTAGTTCATTATTCATGCCTGTTTATTTTAAGGAATTGTCAGTGTTACATCAATTTGTGGAAATTTTAGATTGCAGATTAACCTTTTGGTACAATTGGAGACTGTATCTCAAACAACATGATTGAGCCTTTAGCATAGAAAATGGAGGTGATAAGATTTCTTAATCACTGTTCCTATTCACCCTGTGCATAGACTGGGCTAAATGAATAAGACGCCAGCTCACTATTCTGGAGGTTGCAGTGTTGCTCCTGGTTTTGGCCCAGAAAGTTCATCAGGATTTTCTGGCATGGAGGGCCGGACAAGGATAGCTGTCTAGTCATTCGGATGGGATAAAAGATCAAGGTCCTGTGTACAATTTGGCGTGCATATAAAAGATCCCTTGGCAGTTGAAATTTGATATAAGAGAAGACTGTAGCACCGCTGTCCAAGCAAAATTACTCTCACAGTACACCGTCTTTATTAGCCCAGTCAGAGCAGAACAGTAGGAGCGTCACTGAAACTTTTGCCCAAGGGTGCCATATAATGTTGTACAGTGTGCTTAATATTATGGGATAAAGGGACCCCGCGAATAAAGTATCAGTTGTGTAATTTGATGAAATCAAGATATTTTATCAATCCTGGTTATAATAAAGAATTCTAGTATGATTTTGTTGACTCCTTGATGATATTAATCAGAGGTTGAAGATAATAGTATAGAAATGAAGAAAGATTTACAGACATATTTATATCAACTACGTATACAAGCTGAAGTTAATGTTATAGAAATGGTAGGTTATCCATTTATATTCTTAAACACATGTAGTGATCGATGCTCACAATGATAATTCTTCTAAAAATAAGTCTGAACAACTAGGCCCCAGTGGATGCAACTCATGAAATATTGAGAATCTATCTTGAAAAATCCTGAGGGCCCTAGTTGCTTGAGTGGTCTAATGCATGTGCTTTAGATCATAAGATCTGTCATGAAGTCAAGTGGCATGGTTTCGAACCCAAGCTTGTATGTGACAAGGAGTAGGGATGCTTACCCAACCTCACAGGGTTTTCTCCAGGGCCTCCGGTTTTCTCGCTGTGATCCCTACACACAAGCAAATTTTTTAAATAAAATTGTACCATATGTTAGTCCCAAAATGGCCTAGTTTGTTTTGTGTGGACGTTGAACCCCGTTTTTATCTTTCTCTCCTCTCACTTCTTGCTGCAATTCGTACACAGGTCATTCTAACTGGGATTCCATTGTTCAGAGTTTTACAGAAGCAAATAAATCTGGCTTCAATCGAATGGATGAATAAAAAAATAATTTTGAGGTTTTTATAGCTAATAATACAAAAATATTTGAGAGGATTTGGGGAAATAAATTATATTTTATATAAAAATTGTTTTATTTCTACAGAGTGGAAGTGATATATCAGCTTATACGTATGAACGAACTTTAATGATGGAACAACGAACAGAAATGTTACAACAGATGAGAGTTAAAAAACCAGAGGTAACTTGCAGAATTTTTGTCTGATAATTTTGAGAATATATTCTTTCAATTTCATTCATAGAAATGTTTTATAATGGAGGGATTAGACATGATGGCTAGAAATCTAAAGCTGGAAATAAGGCATCTGTCACATACATTGTTTGGCAAATATTCAAGCATTGTAAACCACAATAAAATTGGTGCCTGTGTTATTTCTGTGATTTTATTGATATTTTTAATGCATGCCCAGTATAAAATTCAGAATATCATTTTACCCCCCCCCCCCCCCTGCAAAATGTTGTCGACCATAAAAACAATAGATATACATTGTCCGTCAAATTTACAGACCCCCCCCCCCATTGAGATAGTTAGTATCCTGATCCTTGCATATACCAGTCTGTTCAGTAAATGAAGGTATTTCCAGACATCTTGCGTACATGGGATGTTATGTATTTTGAATTAGAGCTTGAGTGAGAGAATTGTAAGTATATCATTTGAAATGAATAAATATAATTGGCATCATTTTTGTTTTGGTATTTTCCAGCCTCAGTCTATCATAGATAAGGCTCATAACCCTGGGGATGTTAAAATACAGTTAGATTCTGTACCCGAAGAAACAGCAGATTCTTTGAATGAACCAACTTCTATACAAGATCGTAACCAGTTTACTTTTACACCACGTGACAAAATCTTTAAACCTGTCAGTAAAAATCTCCTTAATTTAAAACCGTGAGTACCGAAGATATTTATTCATTTTATTTCTTCTTTGACACATTTGTGTGAAAGGGAGTCGTGGTGACTTGGTAAGTATGGGGTTCTATCCCAAAAAGGGCCAAGAAAGTTACTTGGAATTTTCCAATCTGGTTTCCTCTCATCAAGCTTCCATCTTAGGGTCTGACATGATGTTCTTCTTTGTGGTTAACATTCTCTTCCACCAAAGGTGATATTGCAGACAAGTCTTATATTTCATTTTTATTATCTGAGCGCACGAGCAGGGGGTCTTTCCTGTGGGAGAAAACCGGAATACCCGGAGTAAACCCCCGAGGTTGAGAAGGCACTTCTATCTCCAAGCCACATATGCTCACACCAGGGATCAAAACCACAACCGCAAGCCAGAGGTGAGGGGAACGCTAGAGGTCGATGCATGGCACTCTAGACCACTAAACCATCCCAGCCCCAACGTCTGAATATTGTTTGTGAGGTTTTGACCCTGTTTAGTCAGTAGTATCCTTTCTTTTGGTAATACTACTATTGTTAGCAGACCAGATAACCCAGCATACATACAATGCCACTGCACATGAGATATCGTTTCAAGTCTCATAATTTCAATACAAAATAACAATTAATGTTTGGAGTAACTTGTAAACGACCCAAAGGGTTAGAAATATTAACTGTGTGTTTATGTAGTGTTGGATTTTGTTGCTTTTGGTGGGAATCCTGCAGAAGAGGTCACATCTGTCTCTAAAATGAACAGTCTTAGTGAGGAATATGTCAGTCTGCATCAGTGGTGTTTAAAGTCAATTCTTTCATGTTAAATAGAACTAATCATTCATAATGTTATTTTTATCTGGAAATATGGCACCTGTCGGGCACAAATTCAGGCTTTGTTAGGCACAATCCATTGTCTTGTTCAGATTTGCCTTTTTTTACTGTTCTTTAATGGTTCTTATTATAAAAGTCCGGCACAAAATAAAGTGTCATATGTTTGTATTTTCAGAGATAATAAGAATGTACGTAGAATGCATACTGCTGTACGATTAAATGAGTGTATCGTAGAGAAATCACATGAAGCTCAGCTGGTTATATTAAATTTACCAGCACCACCAAAAACACCTGCTGGTGAAGAGAGCTGTATCCTTTATTTATATAATTATTATTTGAGACTAATATTACCGCCTTTACTTTCAGTTATTAAAATGGATGGTGAATTATTTATTGTTACTTCTGGCATAAATTATCCCAGGGTCATGGTGGCTAAGTGGGTAAGAGTCGCTGGCTCGCTAGCCTGGAGATCGGGTATTCGATCCATGTATTTGCCGAGAAAGTACATCCAGATTTCTCAGCGTGGTTCCTCCTTGTCAGTAATGCAGGGTGTGCATGTAAAAGATCCCTTGACAGTTGGAATTCGATATAAGAGTAAGCCATAGTTCTTCTGTCCGGGCAAAATTTCCCTCATAGCACACTGTATGGCGTATGCCCGTCTTCTTTAGCCCAGTTTGGAGCAGAGTAGGACGTTAAACCCCATTTCATTTCATAAATTATCCACATTGATTGTTCATTTGGGGGTATTAAATGTTGTGTGGCTTGGTAGCAAATTGTTAGGGGTTGGCACCGGTGCAGCTCACATGAAAAATATGTATAGTCGTTATAATGTGCACACCATATGTTTCTTGTCATGTAAAATTCTCATCACACAAATAATTAACAAAGAAAATGGTAAAAAAAACATCCTGTATTTGAAATGAGATAAGTTTTGTGTTGATGAAATGGAGTGTTTTTCAGGATTGAAGGTACGCTTATATATTTGTGTATTAATTAGTTGCAAAAGATGTTTTTGCAGTTTCAGCAAGTGCGGACTTAGACACCACCATTACTTTATAAACATGTTAAAGATCAAGACTTTGCACAGATTTCTCTTTTGTATGACAGAATAATTGATTGTCAATCAGTTTTTTATATTTTTCTTAACCTTGTAAAGACATGGAATTTTTAGAAGTGCTAACAGAAGGACTGGATAGAGTTTTAATGGTTCGAGGAAGTGGACGAGAAGTTATCACAATTTACTCTTGATCTGATTACCATTAATAAGATCAATAAATGTATTCATACGCTTATCATCGTAGCAATATATATTTACACAATAAACGCATGACATAGATATATACATATAAAACCAATCTGCAAGTTTTTCATCATCATTTTTATCGCGCTCGCTCTTTGTGTATTTATTTTATATTAGTGCCAATTTTTTAATAATCAGTTATCATATCACATTATTGTCACCAATTTTACGCTACAGTGAAGTTTCATTATTTAAAGAGGCGTTATCGCTTTAATCATAAAATTAAATATCTTTTAATTTTAGATATCATATTAAATTTCAAAGTTCCAAATGCGGCATTTAGCCCTCAATTAGCCCAGCAAATGTTATATAGATACAAATCATGCTTTTGTATTAAAGACCTGTGACATATAGTAACTTCAAATTGAAAGTAAGAAGGCCTCTTTTCTTTAATTAACTGTCTTATGTAATTATTACTTTAGTTCATTTGACAACCAATCAAAAAAATAAAAAATTTAATTTTTAGTGAATGATGAATTAAACAATGCAAATTACAGCCACATGTTTTTTGAATTTCTAACGACAACGACATTTTGATTACTTGAGATCCATAAACTTCCTTGGTATGGAAAATTGTAAAAGATTCTATTTGTTATGGAATTTGACTATTAATGTTTTAAACTTTAGATGTGTGAATATAAGGGTATACATATAGTATATGTTTTGTCATCAATAATTTATTCTGAATTATATATTTGATAGTTTATTAAAGGCTGGATGCATCATTTAGCGCTATAGCAATCCCTTGCAAACTACAATATTAGGAAAGATTAATCTCTAATAGGAATATATCAGTCCAAAAATGGTTCAATTCCATTTAGAGATTATCTAGGATTGGTATTTTGATTTGATTTTCTTAATTAAATGATAAATAATCAATCGGAGTACATATTTAGAGTGTAATTAGCCGTGACAAATTTTATTTGTTAGGGAAATTGCTAATGACGCATTGGGCCTTTAAGCTAATATTTTGATTGTTTATAAGCATATACTAGTCACGATCATCTATATATTAAATTTCTTTAAGTATATCATATTTAACTGATAATCATACAGTTTAAAAAATCCACCCTGAATATTCAGGCCTTCATACTTGGTTTACCAAATGGCTGTTTATTGAATCAGAGGTGATTTCATAATATTAAAAACTTCTTCTAAGAGAACTCTGTATGATATAGTCATATATGTAACATTAAAATGTCTCATTTATTATTTGTTACAAAGAAATAATTATGCAGGTATATACATAAAGGGACAACAAAATATATTTTTTTCTTTTGCCATGTTGCTTCTTTTGTTTTACATTTATAATTATGTGGAATTTTTTTTCCATTTGTTACTGATATTTTGGCTTATTAACATGACCGACCATATTTGCAAAATACCCTTTTTGGTTTATTATAGACTTCATTTTACATGTATATTGGTGGAATATTTTTTCTCCACTAATCTTTTTTGCTTTTTGCAAGTTCATATATATTTTGGAAAATGTATAGCAATATATGTTTTTGGGAACCTTTGTTTTGTTTATGTCTTGATTCTTTGTGTGTAAAACAGTGCTTATAGAAAGGGTACAAGCAAAGTAAGGTATTTTAATGGGGATACTCGATAAAATTTTCCAGAAATAAATTCTCTTAATCCCCAAAATAGTGCCGGCTGCACAAGAAAATATCTCATTTCAGCTGAAACATATTCGATGTGTTTAATAATGTCATAATTCTACTCCACCACCTCTGTTGTTGGGACTGGCAGAACTATGACGGGGCTGAATTCCACGCCACTCGGTTGCAATTCTGTCAATTCCAGACTGACAATTAAGCTTCTGCTTAACATACAGATTTCTGAACAAGTTTATCTCCAAAAAATATAAATCCAAAAAATTACATAAGCTTAATTATTTACATTTTGCTGTAACTATTTTATACGTAATGCTGTTTTCAGTAATTATTATGTAAGTTAATAATACAATCAAATATTGTTACAATGTATATAGGACAATCTTAACATTGGATAGACAGAACAAAATAATATATAAATCATATCATTTATTCATATATAATGTAAATTTCCGTGGTATCTATTGCTTGTTTTTATTTGATTCCATGATTTGTACTCTACCATCCTTTCATTGGGTCCACATATCATCATCATGTAAGATATATCTTATACAGTTACAAATCGTATACGTGTATTTAGCCCTTTCTAGGGGTTAAACTTCCACAAAGGTTTACAATATTAGGTAAAAAGGTAAGACAAGAGAAGGTTCAAGTTATTAATACAATCAAGCATTTTGTAATCGAACACATTATATTAAATACAAGAGTTCTATGGAAATCAGTTACTGTATTTTTAATCATTCTTTCGGTATAAGTATTGTGTTTGAAAAAGACAAGAGAATCATTGTAAAAACGTAGCTCCTATTAAAATACATTAATTGTTTTCCATAGAACTTTTTATTTAATTTAGTAATTATATGTATCAGTAGTCAATTGCAGAGTGATTCCGACCAGCATCAGTTCTCTGAAATTCAGTTTTGATTGAACAGAATCTCAACCATTTATATTTTATTTGATGACAGGTACAATTTATTTGATCTCCAGTAAACCACATGTTAATTTATTCCATGGTCCCATATAAATCTGTCATTTGAATTAACAATTCCTGTCTTTCAATGTAATAAGGATAAAAATAGGGCACAGAAATGCCTAATTGGGTCAACCAATGAAAAAACTAGAACACCTGATTTGAACTGAATTAAATTTCATTGGGTCAAAAGACAATTTAGTTCAATGTAAAGATTGTAAAGATACTGTGGTTTGACCAATCTAGCGAGATTCATTATTAGATTGATACCCATCCAATTGGTCTTTTCAAACTGTTCTTCTGTTATTTCAAATATTTAACCTTACATTTAAATTCACAGTGGTGAGTGAGGTTGCTTTTGATATTGTGAGCTTTTTTCATTTGGAAAATGAATGTATTTTTAATAAAAAAAAAAAAAGAAAGGTTATTTTTTTTTTTTACTATTCTTAAAATCTTAAGATGTATACTAGGTGGTACATATATTTATGTTTCAGTAACATAATGTTATCGATATTATTTCTATCTTCCGTGATCCTTTGCACTAACACTATTCAGGATTTATATTGCGTCAGATTATAATTTTATATGCTTTAGCAATAAAACAGTGGACATTACAATGTTGAAATAAAAACAATAATTATTATTATTTGACTTTATACACGCATATGTACACTTGTATTAAGGCCTTATATGTTTTATTTGTTTGTATATAACTGTTTATAGTTATCTATATATTCTTATTAATTAAAAATTTCCTACTAATCTATTTATACTAACCAATTAAGAGAACTAAGACCATTAAATAATTATCTCCCTTATATGTTTAACCTCATTGCTGCTCTAGAGGTTTGCTGAATGATCACGTCATGGGTCTAATATTTTAAAAGCTTCTGTGTGAGTGAGTGTTTCGGGCTATGACGCATGTAACAACTGCATTTGAAAATATCTCGACCAACCATGACATCTGAAATATATTGGTTGCGTTTAATCCCGTCACGATTCTACTCACACCACCTCAGTTTTCAGGACTGAATTCCGCTTATGTCAGTTCCGAACTTTAGTTTTCAATGGGTTATATAAAGGGGATAATATTTTGGTAAACTGTCATTTTAATTGTTTTGTATGTAATTAATGACGTTAATTTATCACAAAAATTATTTAATATATAAACTGATTTATTGGGAGTATAAATGAGGGAGTATAAAATATCTAATGGTTTACGTCTGAACTCCCCAGTGTTTATTTATTCCTATATATAATTGTGAATTGTCAAAATGGATTATTAAATGAATAGAAAGGATATGTATATTTGAGGAATGTATGTAAGGTTACATAAACTGGATTTATATTTGTTAAAGAAAAGAAATGTTTGACTTGAATATAATATTAGAGTATTATTATAACAATCTATTTAAAACACAATCTTAATCCTGTTTTCAATTTTCTAAAAGTTTTGTTTGTCGCTCTGTGAATCCTGTATAAATGTTATTCAGGATTACCAGAGGAGTGAATATATAATATCTAAAAGTATTTTTTTTACTGAAAAATAGGGGTTATATTTGATGACTTTAAAATTTTATAAACAGAATAAAGATTGTTTGAATTTAGATTGATTATTATATAAGCTTTAAATATAGTCAAAGTGGATTTTTGTTTTGTTATTTAAATAGGGATATATATATATTATATTAAACTATGGTACTTTATCTCTTTATAAATATATCTATTTTAGTATGCTTCACATTTAAATACTTATAGGCATACATTTAAAAATTTGTAGGTAGAATACATAAACTCAGCAAATATCGAAACAGATTTGATACATTTATCTTCTAATAAATGTACCCAAGAGATAGAGTGACATAAATTAGGTCGTTTTGGGACTAACATGTACACAGCAGTACAATTTTATTTCAATGATTTGCTCAGACTAAGGTTTTTTGTAGTGGGAGGAAACCCACAAGGTTGGGTAAGCATCACAACTGCTTTTCACGTGCAAGCTTGGGATCTTAAGTGCGCACATTAGACCACTTGACCACCCTAATATGTACCCACATCTCTGCATGGGAAAATATTTTCCATGATCAGTATTTCATTACATTTATTTATGATACATATTTTGTTAATTTAAAACCACAATAATAGACACATAAAGAGAGGTATCAAGTTTCAAATATAATTTTATTTTTATTAATTTGATTATTTTTGGCTTTCAATATCAAGTGATCATATTTTTATTTCTAAAAAAAAAAAGTGTCATCACTTGCCATGGATCAGATATCATTTTTAATATTAACTTCTGTATGTAAATAAAATTATATTTATATATAAAGAACCACTTCTACAAATTCTGCTGAAATCAAAACCGATTAATAAAAAGTTAATTGTAATATAACCCATGTGTGTATTCATTTTTTAATTGTACAATTTTAAAAATTTTGATTATTATTTCATTAAATTTGGTAGCTGAACTGAAATTCATAATAAGAGATTTCTTAAATGGTTAGCGACTTAATTAGCAGATCCATTAAATGAAATTCGATTAATACATCTGATTTTTTTTCTTGATTCCGGACTCCCGATTAATTATTAATTAATTGTGTAGAATTGCACTAGGGACTTTGCAGTTGCTTGGCACCTTGGAAATATGTTGCCTTTTTGGGTTGATGTCTTAATCACAATGTTTGGAATATGAATCCTACATTTAAGTCCCTACCGAATTAGTTAATACTAGATTTAATGAAATAATAATAATATTGTACATAACATGTATTGTTAGCCTGTATGTTTTCACAATATCTGTCCCCATGTAGGCAACATGTATTATATTATACCGTCTATGTTTGTATGGAAAGATTAGAAAATAGAATAAAAATTAATATTCCATATTTGTTGACTTCATACTGACACAAAATATGAACCAACTGATTACTATGGTAGGTTGGCAGGCACGATAGAAGAAGGGATTGTAATTAGAAGGATTTTCTACTCTCTGCATTCTGCCTCCACTTATTCCGTAGTTTATTGACTGAGAAATGTATAGCCTACCTCTTCAGCAGGTGATTAGGGTATGCCACTGCATATTTGAACTAGAAATTTAAATGTAGTCCGTTTATCGGATAGTTTGTGTCATCACTTTTAGCCGTGATTCATACCGACACATCCAATCTCCAAGCCATTAAAAACGCAATGCCTAATTCATTAAATATTTTTTTTTTTGGGGGGGGGGGGGGGGGGCTTTCCTAACTTATGGCAGTAGCTGACTGAAACCTGTTGCGCAGATGCTGTAGTCGGATGAGCAGTATTTTCAAAACTTCGCGCTATTGTATTAGATCAAATTCAACTAGTATGTTTCCCAATCGAAATGAGATAACATTTATAAGCCAAATTAGATCTAAGAACAAAACCATGACATAGAATAGGCATTTTTGGAACGAACAAAATTGTATAATAGTAGGTAGGATTATCTCCCCTTACATCTCCCACGCCTAAAGGCGGCGTTACTGATGCCTAGAAAGAACAAGATGTCGGAATAAATTGCTTTCCTTCATAATAGACTTCATCCGCAGTAAAATGCGTTTAGTGGCTGAATAATGATGATCAATTATAGATTGAATATTGAATATTAAGAGAACCCCAAACCCTAGCATTTAGCCAATTTGACCCTATTTAATTTTAACAAGAAGCAAACGAAAAAAAAAATGGCAACCTCACGTTTCACTGTTTCAAAATCCCCCGAAGAGATCGACCCGTCTTCAGCGACTTGTACCGGTAGCTCAAATTCAGATGATCTCGATTTTGTAAAAATTCGCCTTGAAGATGCCAATGGATTACAAGTTCCCGTGGGAGCAAAACGGGGTAAATTATAATATAATATGTTTTATTTACCGGTACCGGTACTTTTGTTTAGCCTAGCTCACTGGAATCTTTGACGACGTTGACGTTGACAATATCACGTGTGTTTGCCCGTCGGCTCTAGGCAAAGTAGTGTTTTCGAGCATATATATTATGATATATTTTATGTGTCCTATTGTCCAACTCTTAGAAGTTAGGGTGCATGTTCGTTCGTCTCGTTTTCGTAATCTTATTAATATTAGAGAGTAGAAAGGCATTTGAATAACCGGTGCCGCGCGATAGCCGGTATTTTTTCATAATCACTCACCACAGGAGCAAAATTCTTACTTTTAATATTTCAGATACTAAAGTTTTGGCAAAAGGAAGTGAAGTGTCCAATGCTTCTGGATTATATGAGGTATGCGAAGCCCTTAAAACGTAATGAAATCGGGTTTAAACTTTAACATCTAAAATCAGACCGGTATGATGAAGACGGTCATTTATCACCCAATAATACATTCCACAGTAGATATCGCTTGTGTGATATATTTCATAATCTACTGCGATAACTCCTTAGGAGATATCGCTTTACATGAATTTGATTGGTCAGTTGAAATGGAACTACTTTTTTTATTTTCAAAGAACAGTTCATTTCTTATTAAAAGAAATTTTTTTTTTCAAAAATGAACTATTGTTATTCAATTAACCTTGATGGAAACACTGGGCCAATATAAAGGACTTTGCAATAGTTGAATTGCTGTCAAAAAATAATGTATCACTACGCCGTAATGTTCAGTAAAAGTGAAATCTACAGCAAAGAATTATCTGTTTGTGCATGTAAGAAGGGATTGGGTGATAAATAAAATCTCCTACTCGTCTTTTTTGATATCAAAAAATATCAACACTCGTTGATAAAGTAAAAAAAACCTCGGCAGAGCCTCGTTTTTTGTTATTTTATCAACTTGTGTTGATATTTTTTGATATCAAAAAAGACTGGTAGGAGATTCTCTATATATACATTACTGGGAGAAATTTTGCCCGGACGCGGGGTTTACTCTGTACCGAAGTTTAACTGTTTTAGGGTTATTTTAAGTGTACGCCAATGAGGTGAACCTCGGATTTTTGTCCCTTCCACACGACTTGACTCTTTTCCCGGCCATGCGCTTTGCATCCGAAACTTAGTTAAAGAGCACATAAGGTCACCAGTCGAAATTTTCCGAAAGTCAAATAATATGTTATAATTGATACAATTTACGTCACTTGATAAGAAATAAATCGTTTTATCGGTGGATTGCGGGGCTATGTTTCGCTGTCTGGAAACCTATGTTACTTATATATTTGTGACATCTTTTATGTTCTATATTTTTAAGACACGGTAACAGGTTCTGAAAAGTTTTAATTATCCACCTTTCATTTGTAGGATGACATGAAGAAAGGTAAATTATCCATTTTATTATCGGGTATAGCTAATTATTCAGCAGGAATAGCGCCTAATCCAGAACGTACTGAAGACAACCAAGAACATCAAACGGTTAGTATTCGAATCTGTAATAAAATCGCAGTCTTAGAACCCCAATAATGCCGAATAAAGGACAGCAATTTATAATCTATTGGCGTATCACGATAGATTTTTTCTTTTAGAGGAACTAATATATAGCTCTATCTTACACTTGACTTTTAAGGCGAATACTTTGTGGTTTTCAAACTCCAGTACGACAAACTGTCGACGATAAAGCTCCCTTTTAAATGTTCTCCCTAAGCCTAGCAATAATATATTTTTTCCTGGAGCGTATTTTTTTAGCTGTGCATTTTCTTCCTAAACCCACTTCCGTGTTTGTTTTAATATGTATTTTTTTTTTGTTCGTTTACTACCTATACGTTATTTCTTATCAGGGTCTGTATGTTAAAAAGTAAAGGTTCAAACGATAAACAGGTGTAGGCAGGGCCGTAACTAGCTCAGAACAACGAGGGGCGGGAAGTGTTCTCAGGGGGTCTGTAAAATTGACGGACAATGTGTATCTCATGTTTTTATGGTCAACAATGTTTTCACAGGGGGATGGGTGGGGGCGAAACCCCCCCTCCCCCTGCGCCACGCTTAGTTACGGGCCTGGGTATAGGTAGGAAGTAAATTTGAAAATATAGACCAGTCTTATGGGTTGACAGTCCAGATGCTTAGCTCCTTGAATGTGTGCATATCTTGTATATATCATGATTTGCAGTTTGAAACAATGTACCATGCATCGCAATTTGAAACGATCAAAACATATCTATTATACCTATTTTATATTTATAGCACGCGAATCTAGGAACTATATTAGGAGTATATTTACCGTGTATACAGAATATATTTGGTGTCATATATTTTGTAAGATTAGCGTGGATTGTGGGAGTAGCCGGGTCAATGGAGGCCTTCCTTATTGTTCTAATTTGTTGTTTTGTGGTAAGTAGGCGAAATTAAATGTATCGAAAAGCATGGTCACTATAGAACAATGATAGTTGATACCTACGTGTTTTTTTTAAAAATCGCCGCATGCTGCCCTTCTCTTATCTTCTATGGCGGGGTGTCAGGTTCAAAATGCGATCTGCAGTAGAAAGTAGAAAATAAAATGCAAAAGCGAAAATTCTTATCCAAAATGGACATTTTCGTGTGGGAAACATATACCGCTCGTGCTTTTCAACCTTATACGTCCACCTTTTCAACTTTAAGTCGTAAATATTCTACTTTCAACAAGATTAAAAATTATCATTTGTTTTTTTTCTAAATGTATATATATATATATCATTTGTGATGTTGCTATTGATGGTTATTTATGTACATGTTTATTTTATATGCTGTCCTTATTAATGAATGTTTCGATCGGTACAATAAAATCTTATCTTATCTTAGTCTTACAACTAGTGGGATCGTTTATTTTTCTGGAAAAATACCGTATTTTAATGACATGCAGAAATAGTCACGTGATCAAATTTATTTCCGTAATATGCATGGAGAAAATCTCGAGCAGAAAATCTCGAGTAGAAAATCTAAAGTTGAAAGTCGAATGTCAAAAGTTGATTATTGAAAGTAGAAATTCTGTTGTTGAAAGTAGAATATTTACGACTTAAAGTTGAAAAGGTGGACGTATTAGGTTGAAAAGCAAGAGCGGTATATATGTTTCCCACACGAAAATGTCCATTTTGGATAAGAATTTTCTCTTTTGCTTTTTATTTTCTACTTGCTATTGCAGATCGCATTTTGAACCTGATATCCCGCCATAATCTTCTTGTCCATAGTTTGTGAGTCACCGTAACGTAACTAAGCTTGCTGAAAACCGCGAGAGTCGAGCTTGTATTTGTAGAGATCAGTCTGATTAAATTACAGATCTTATAATTTGCTCATTTTTATAATTCGATTACTAACTGGTCATAGATAATAGAGGGATTAGAGAGGTCCCGGGTTCCATTCCAGTGTTAGCCGAGAAAATCACTCGGGAATTGGTGCAGGACGGAGGGTCTGGCAAGTAATAGTGTCTAATTGTTTGGATACGACGAAAACGTTGGCATGACAGTTGAAAAGTAGGTGGAAACAGCGTCTAGTCGTTCGGATCGGAAGAAAAACCGAGACCCCATTCGCATTGGAATTCGAAATAAGAGTAGGTCATAGCGCTGCTGTCCGTGCAAAATTTCCATCATAGCACAATGTTGGCACACTGTAGAACGTTAAAACCCATTTCAATACATTTTAACCTATTGATTATTTACAGAGTCTATTGACATCGTTCTCTTTGAGTGCTATAGCTACGAATGGTGTTGTTGCTGGAGGAGGAACGTATTTTATGATATCTCGGGGTTTAGGGCCCGAGTTTGGAGGTGCTGTTGGTATTTTGTTCTATCTAGGTCTATCGATATCAGTAGCTATGTATTTTATCGGAACCGTAGAAATTCTTCTGGTATGTATTGTTCGATTAAACTTTGTTTTCTATTTTTTTTTCAATCACAAAGTTTCGCTTTGCCTGCTCTTTTCTTATCTTATACGAATATTAAACATACATTATGCAAGAGCTAAATCTGCC